CATAGTTCCGCCGGACGCCGAACGACATGCTGCCCCCAGAGAGAACCACGCGTCGCACCGCCTCCGCCGTGCTCAAAATTATTTCGCTGCGTACTTACAGCACTTATTCTCTAGTACGTATGGATTCGACGCATTCATTCATGGCGGCCGCCCTGCGCTTGCCACCCGCCCGTCTTCACGCTGTGCTCTAAATAGTATCCGCCCGACGTGGAAACTGTCGTCGTTCCGCTCGTAACGAAACTTACTCACCGCGACCACAAGTTTGTCAGAAGACACCGCGGAGAGCGCTCGTCTGATATTATGCGAGAAGACGAGACGACATGTCTCTGCCACCGCACCTTCCGACCCTTGGTGGCGATAGCGAGTTTGTGCATATAAGATGTCTCATTGCAAATATTCATAAACCTCGAAATGTATCGCGTCCGCCCGACTGCTCCGTCGAAGATGGCATTTCTTTGGAAGTGGTCAAGGAGTCGCCTTCATCGTCGGATACGGAGAGAAGCGGGTCGGGTTCAGAGAAGTCTGATCTTAACTCCGCGGAAGACGATCTGGCCCCGAAAAAGCGCGCAAAGAGCAACAGTTTCGCAGGGTCGATGTTGGTGCCGCCTGTCAAACCGAAGAGGCGAAGGCCTTCGTTCCTGCAGCTGGGCGGGGTCTTCGAGCATCCGGGCCCCCAGTCTGCGGGGCCTCACCTCACTGTGCCCAAGTTCACAGTAACAGCGCCACCTGGAGAACACCAGCATCGGCGGCTGAGCCATGGATTCGCAGCATTCCACGGTTTCGCCCTACGTCGACACTCTAATACGGTCTGCGCAAGGATGATTTGCAAGTGTGAATTGGTTGTTTTCTGTCACCGTAGTGTTTGCATTGTTTTGCCTGGTACTAACACTAACAGCACGTTTTGTGTATAATATAGATTGTATAAAAAATCTAAATGCTTCAAATATTCGCGGCAATATTGACCAAATAACTTTGTAAGTAAGTATTTATTTGCGTATGTATTTATGAGTGTGTGTCAGTGACAGAGTGGAGATTACATGATGAAATATATCAAAACGTTAATATCGGTTTGTTGTTATGGTGGCGTAGCCAAAGGCCCATATTAATAAGCATCCACAGTCTGTGTCATAGGGTTATATTATAAAGGCGAAAGTTTGTGAGTGAATGAGTATGTTTGTTACTTATCCACGTCTAAACGGCTGGAGCGATTTTAATAAAATTTGGCATGGAGTTAGCTGACACCCTGAAATAACACATAGGCTGTTTTATTGCGGTAAAATATTCCTAATAAAGCGCGGGGCACAGTCAGTAGGGTTATTTATATCTCTTGAACGGAAATATGCAGACCTATGAAATTATCATAGAATATCTGTACTATGGCTGCGCTGCTATCACAATAAATACAGATACAAAAAAGGGGAATTTACTTTACAAATCATTATGTTTTTTAAACAAAAATTTCCCCATTTGAAGTAAGACATGGAAGCAAATTGCCCGCAAATAAAAACGTAATATTATAGAAAGTAGTAATTTTCGAAAATTTATATGAAAACAGAAAGTTTTAACGCATATACTTAATTTAGTGTCCGGAAGGAAAAGATAGAATGTAGTTATGACGTTTGTTTAGAAAACGATTTAAACGATTAAATGTCTCAAATATATCAGGCAGCTATTTTAACCATAAATAAAAGCATTGAACTCCCATGTTACATTATCTAGAAACATTCGTACAAAGAATTCCTTGGTTGGAATAGAAAATTTAAATTGAAAGCTGAGAACTCTAAATCTAAAACATTGCGTCTTTTTGACACCCACATATGTATACGACTTAATTCTAATGTCTTATTAATTTGCGATTTTTTTGCTCCCACAACTATTATAATATTTTGGTCGTTTTGTGAAAAGGTCAACTGGTTTTTTAATGAAGTTACATACTTTTATATTAATTGTGGACATTTTGCTTTGTTGTTTTTGCTGTTACTATAAAATTTTGTGAATTTGTATTTGTATAAAGTAGATCATCTGCTAGTCGATCGTTATTCGTATAATTCTGAGACGGAGTTTGCCTATCACTGAGGTATATAAATGCCAATTATTTCGGAAAAATTTCAAAGTCATAGAAACATTATATTTGTTTGATGGATCAAGTACAGAATCGACGTGCGGAAACGGGGGCCCACCACAAGTATATTATATGTTTATAAAAACTAAATAATTTTCTTTATTCAATGGATCTTCTAATAAATAAAATTCTCGTGTCACGGTGTGTGAAATTGAACTACTCCGAAACGGCTCGACCGCTTTTAGTGAAATTTTATATGCATATTCATTAGGTCTGAGAATCGGAATTAAATTTTTTTTGTACAATTTTTTTTGTTTATTTTTATGATACACTAGACTGACTTCGTCTGCGTTAACTTAGTTTCTTAAAAATCCCTATGGAACCTAACATTTTTTCGGGATAAAAGTAGCCTATGTGTTAATCTAGGGTGTCAGCTAACTCCATACCTTATAAAAATCGCTCCAGCCGTTTAGACGTGAAGAAGTAACAAACATACACACTCACATACTCACACACTCACCAACTTTCGCCTTTATAATATTAGTGTGGCCATACAAAAATACATACAACCCTAAATTTCACCCTTCTACCACCAACCCCTATTTTTTAAGGCGGTATGAAGTTCGCTGGGACCTGGGGCTAGTTTTGCTATAAAATTCTCTTCGGATTGTTTTTTTCGAACTAGTTTTGTTAGATCTTAAATATTGTTCCATGGCACGAGATCCTTCGCTTGCGAGACCAACTCGCATAGGTCGGGTTTTATTCATATTGTCTTTAAAAAATATAAATGTTTGGATTTAAGGTTATATGGCTGCCGGTTGACATTGTTATCCTACCTTGCGATTGTGTGATATCATGCGTTATCATTGAATCTATAAAGTGTTCATAACGAAGGCGGCTGCGTCAGAAATTTGTGCTCCTGTGAAATTGTTTTTGCTGCTGTAATCAAAATTTGTGAATTTACATTTGTATAACGCTGTTGATCTAGTTAATTGTTTTTCTTATAATGCTGCGTTGGAGTTTGCCTATCACTGAGGTATATGAATGACATTTTAAAATTATTCGGAAAGATTTCAAAAGCCTACGAAATATTATTTAATGGCCCAAGTACGGAGTCTACGCGCGGAATCGAGGGCTTACCACAAGTATATTATATGTTTACCAAAACTGAATGAATACTTTTCTTTATTAAGTGGATTCGCCGTTTCTACTTTTTTGATGAACACAACTAGTTTGCGCGTGAACACTTGCAACTAAAGCTGAGATAACCCCATAATTTTCTTTAATTGCTTGCTTTCTCGTTTTCCCGACGAATGGCTCAATAATAATATAGTAGGTATTGTATCTTTACTCAATATACAATTATATTTTTTATCATTATGAGTTATAGGAGATTTAGCTTCTTGCTTAATTAAAAAGTTCTAACTTGATTATTGTATTGAATTAATGATTTAGTTTTGTCATCTTTATTTTGTGTAGTGGTAACTCTCTTCGATTGAATCACTCAAGTCATAAATTGATCGCGTTATACGAAGTGGTAGATTCCTTTTCAATGGATGTGTTTGGTTGAATTGACACCTGAGGTTGTTACGTTTCTGTCAAGAAACTGTCTTTTAGTCACTCCTAAAATAAACGGGGCTTTATTTCAGCTCACTTTGAAACTCCGTTTTACATTCATAAAAAATGAAATGCGAAATGCGAACGATGAAAATATTTTGAAATTTCTAATAGTAAAACGTGTACGTAGTAAAAATCTGCCAACGAACAGTTATTTTCGGTTATTTACTATAGTGCCGATGTGCTGGCAATCTGTCACTGTACGACAACTTTGACTCATTGAGTACTATCGTTGATATATATTTATCCCACGCTTTCGTACCTGTGACGATTTCATAAGGAAATTGGCGTGACGCTAATGTACGTAGTATTTTTAAGGAAGCGCCAACATTTTTTTTATTTTTATTAAAACATACCAATTAGCCTAGCTACAAAGTAAGCACTGTAAGGCTTATGTTATGAAGTACTACGGTAATGTATAGAATACATATACTGATACATATATAATATAAGCGTAATATAATAGAAGTATTAATATATATAGACTTAGGTACAAATGCTCGTATTCATCATACTAACATTTGCCCCACTGGGATTCGAACCTCTGAGTAGATGATACCTTAAAACCCAGCGTACATACCACTTCTGCGCACCAAGTCTTTTTATGATGAATGCCCTGTTAATAAAATGTTCTTTTATTTAAACTATGTTACGATGTTAACGACACATTGAACAAAATAATATTAATTTTAATAGTTTAAATATTTTTTTAAGTTTTCTTGAAGATTACGCCAAGTTATTATTTATTGTAACCATACTTAGTCACTGTATTCAACATATAATTTCATATAGGGATTAACCAATTGCATGATGAAATTATTATTGCCTATTTCTTTCCAAAGTTTGTGTGTTCCTCTGCCATAACTAATAGTTATACACTACTAACGTTGCTAGGTACACTTCAAAATCGAATGTCATAAAACCGACCCATCGATTCATCACCCAGTTTCAGAATTCTATGCTATAGTCACCAGTGATAGTTTTTTTTTGACTGGGCGATGGCGTATTATGCGTTTTTTTTATTTAGTCTCCCAAATCAATCCTTACTGAAAAAATCTATCCTTACTACTATTATAAATGCGAAAGTTATGTTTGTTTGTTATTCAATCTCGCAAAAACGGCTGAAAAGATTTGAATGAACTTTGGCACACTGATAATTACCTGGATTGATACATAGGATACTCTTTATCCTGAAAAATTTTTGGGTTCTTAGGTGGTTGTCTAAAGTTGACGCGGACGAAGTCACGTCACGGGTGGTCGCAAGTACTATAATAAAATTTAAACACGAATGAAATGAAACTATTGATACTATTGTTTGCAGAGCCTCCATCGCAGCGAGTCGATGGTGTCGCTGGCGTGCTTCAAGACGCTCTCACAGCTGGTAAACAGTGACTCTGCTGCGGAACTGCTGCAATACCTCGCCAACAACAAGAACGTCAACGTCGATGACAGAGATGAGGTACGCATTCACTATTGTCAGCTAACTGTTAACACTGGTGAGTGTTAACAGCTAGCAGTCACTCGGGTTCAGGTTTTAGACTGTTAAGCAAAAATCAATACGCGTTTAAGTTCATCTCCTCTGAAAACAGAATACCAATATTATGATTTAATGACTTTTTTTATACTAGGCTTAATTTTATGTCTACAGAATGGCACAACGGCCCTCATGGTGGCGTGCGAACACGGGCGCGTGGCGACGACGCGCGCTCTCTTGGCAGCGGGCGCGGATTCGTGCGCGTGCGACGCTGACGGTTGGACCCCGCTAGCATTCGCGGCTCGCGGCGGACACCTGCCCGTTGTCAGGGAACTTCTGGATGCCGGAGCGAAGGTCGACTCCAGAGATTGCGTGAGTACTTCTCAAATTAACGATACAGTCTAGTATAATGGTCCTCATGGTGGATGGAGTGCTTAGACGGGCGTGTGGCGACGACTCGCGCTCTCTTGGCAGCGGGCGCGGACACATGCGCCAGCGACGCTGTCGGCGGGACCCCGCTAGAATTCGCGGCTCGCGGCGGACACCTGAACCTTGTCAGGGTGCTGCTTGGCGCAGGCGCGAAGGTCGACTCCAGGGATTGCGTGAGTACTTTTCAAATTAACGATACAGTCTAGTATAATCCTCATGGTGGATGGCGGGCGTAGACGGGCGTGTGGCGACAACTCGCGCTCTCTTGGCAGCGGGCGCAGACACGTGCGCCAGTGACGCTGTCGGCCGGACCCCGCTAGTATTCGCGGCTCGTGACGGACACCTGAACCTTGTCAGGGAGTTGCTTGATGCAGGCGCGAAGGTCGACTCCAGAGATTGCGTGAGTACTCAAATGAACATTACCATCTGTATGATTTATTGGTCCTCGTGGTGGTTGACGTGCGGGCGAGGCGGACGCGTGCCCCATCGACGCCGGTGGCAGGACCCCGTTAGCATTCGCGGCTCGAGGCGGACACCTGAACGTTTTCAGGGAACTGTTGGAAGCCGGAGCGAAGGTTGACTCCAGGAATCGACTCGCTTTACGATACAATCATCAATCAATCAATATAGAGATTGCGTCTGGAAGAAATAAAAAAAAAACAAATCACGCAGTCCCTTAATAACGGTTATAAATAATTCAACGATGGACCCCATATCCGACATTCGTTATTGTATGAAATTCCAAAAATGTTCCGCTCGTTGATTAATTGCTGAAATAAAGGCCTAAGAAAGAAGATATAACACATAGAGTACACTTTTTTAACGATTGTGTTATCCCCATAAAACTATTCCCACATATTTATTTTACCAGCCTGCAAATTGCCTTAATTATGCTTGTCCATAGACCACCGTCATAGTTTTACTATCTTAATGAATATAATTTTAAAGGATGCAGTTGTTTACATTCAAAATGTTGTTTGAAAATAGCTTCATCGGAGATACCTGTTTGAATGTTTACTGCAGCCGACAAACTATTTGACATTGTCCATTACTAAAACTAATGTATTCTATTTTTTAGTCCATTTTGTTTTTACGACTCTCAATACCATCTAATTTATGAGGGAATTTTAAACTTACGACAACAAATTTTCAAGAACAAGAGCACGTAGTTTCTTATTTGTAAAGAATTTATTGTTATTTGATTCCACAACTACTTCAATAGAATGTTATCTAATGGGTAAGTATATTAAAGTAAATGTTTTAATAGATTGCTACCAATAAAATAATACCAATAACTACAGCATACACATACTAATACATACTTAAACGCTAAATGAGGGTATTGCCAGTGTGAAACTCATTGTTTGTATACAATAACGACCTTTAAAGTAAAAATTCCAGATTATTTTAAGTAACCTATATTCCTTTGACTAAATAGACGTCTACTGGACTGTGCACCCAATATTTAGTATATTTATACTTTAGGTGGATCCTTGCCAAGATGTCAGTGACATCCACAACAGTACATTCTTATATTTGATTAAGAATATACGCAATGACTATTATTATGAATCATAATATAAACAAAGCAAACAAATACTTCATTAATGACATACTATGAAACAGTTAGGGGGCGTCCATAAATTACGTGAGGTGTTTTTTTGTCCCTCCCTCCCCCCCTGGTGAGATGTCGTGAGATTTTATGCAACCCCCTCGCCATCCCCCAATCTCGTGAAATTTTTCAAAATGTGGGTTTCTTACGTAAACGCGTTGGATTGTTATTGTAAAAATAAAAAAAAAATGCTTCATGCTTTTATATACGACTAATTAAGACTAGTAATCAATATTACTGAGAGTTATAAGTGCAATAAAAATTAACAATAGAATACTTAAATCGTATTTAAAAAAAAATATCTACTCTAATTCAGTCCATGGAGAATCATGCGCGGTCTCAAGAGAGACTATTGGGCCAACATATCCATATTATTATGATAAAATCTTAAGCATGTACAATCTGGATCAAATGGACCAAAATAGTATATATCTTTTTTGTTTCAGTTAGAAAAAAAATGCGTGATATTTGCCGAGACCCCCCCCCCTCTCTCCAACGTAAGATTAGATGAGATTTGACTAAACCCCCTCCCCCCCATAAACATCTCACGTTATTAATGGACGCCCCCGTACTTGTTTTTTTATGAATCTAGTTAAGTGCTTTTATGTGATAAAATCTCTTGATTTTATATGAGACGGATCTATACGTAACCTAAACTTTGGTTGTGTGAAGTTCTGGTCAGCCTGATTTTGCGTCATATTCGTGAACGAATGCCGTTTGAAGAGGTGGGTGTGTCTAACGGCTGTTATTTATTGATTCCTCGAAAAATCTCTTATCTATCCATGATTTCAGATACGAAATAGAGCATTTGTAATTAATTAGAGCTAAGTAATTAGGGTGTGCATTGCGTAAAATTCAGATATATTAACGAGAATGCAGCTGAACAGAGAGAGTTCCTAGGTCAAAGAAAACAAATTTATAGCGTCTCGAAGGCGCTCTAGCCTTGAGTACTATATTTACTGTTTTGTTTATTATCACATTAAAATATTTTCAGTGTAATGGATACGAATGAGTTTTCATCACTTGGTCGCATCCCAATTTTAATTTAGCCCTATTACTAAGCCTCCGCCTTTAGTCATTCTGTCCGTCAGACATCCCTTGAAGAACATTTGCACATGATGTGTATTCCTATTGTCGCTTTAAAGACAATCAATATAAATTAAATAAGTTTAAAACCTATTTAATTAAATTAAGGTTTTGCGCCGCTCAATCTGGTGCTTTTTTATTGCGCACTCCGGACTTGGCCGGTTTTTTAGAATAAATATTAAATTAAATGCTATTATTTATATTTTAGGCCGCTTGGACTCCTCTCCTATGGGCTTCGTATAAAGGTCATGAAGATGTGGTGGCGCTACTGTTGGAAAAGGGTGCTGATGTGCATGCGCATGGCAACTACAATATCAAGTAAGCCAAGTTTTAAAATAATTATAATGTATAGCAAAATAAGTGTATTTTGCTCAGAAACAGCTAATACACCTTTGGCATTGCATTTTCAGACGATTGCTGGAGATAATGTGACACATTTATAGGAATTCATAGCAAAGTTTGATATTCGAATTCAATGCGTGAAATACTTCGATCAACAATTCTATAACCGAATCAGCGCGTAAAATCCGTCTCGGTAAATATAGCCTCACTTGAGGCGTGAGCTCTTAATTTAAATTAGTTCGGTTTATACCAAAGGAAGTAACTCGCTGGCCAAACTGTTAAAAATTGTTTATTTTGTGAGTCAAATGGTTGATTTCACATTTTCCCTTTTTTCAACTTTATCGTTTTTTTTTCAAGTAATGAACAAGAGTTCGTTTTATAATATAAAAGGTCATATGTGCGAAATGACATTTTGTTATCTGTTGTCCTTTCTGAGATAGTTGTTATTAGGTTCAACTTAAACTGTTTTAAAACATTGATCTTTGTTCATTGGGAATTAGAATGGAATGTAGCTTTATAAGTTTAAACGTACGCGGACAGTTTTTAGCTTTGATTTTGTATGCAACCCGTTATGTATAGAATTGTTGATCGAAGGTGAAATATGATTTTATAGTCACCAATGATAATGTAACTATTGTATCTTCTACTGTAATCGGAACAAAATTTTGTTTATCTTGTACGAGCCGTGCCCCGCGGTTTCACCCGCGTTTTTCTCGTTTCCGTGGAAATGCCGAGATAAAATATTGCCTATATTATAGCCTCCCTGAATAAATGGACTATTGAATATTTAAACAGTTTTCATATCAGATCAGTATTTCCCGAGATTACCGCGTTCATAACAAACAACCAAACTTTTCAGCTTTATAAAGCTGAAATTATAATATTAAGAAAAATGGCAATAGCTGTCTATCTGTTCGACTTTCAGCCAGACACATAAGAATTACGACTACAGGCGGGAGTGTCCGTCCACTTTAAACCGGGTTAAAATATTATTTTAAAGTACTTCTGAGTAAATTATATTTTTCGTTTTATTTTCTTGTGGCAGAAGAATATATTGATTGTTTCCGCAACTTGACAACGCGACATATAGTTAGTTAGGTAGTGCGAAAAACAGTCTTGCCGTAAATCTAATCCTACATATTTAATTTTTTGCCCCTGTGATTTATTTATCGTTACGGCAAATGATAATTTAATTGGGAATTGGACTCTTTGAAAAAAAAAATCATTTGGAATCATTGGGATCCGAGGTATAAGTACTGTTTGACCAACCGCTGGACCAGTCAAATCTGTTGCAACGATCACGTTATTGCGAATAAATTTAACCTGAAGTCGAGTCCCGTTACATAAATTTGGTGGCTTAACCGAACAGGCGGCCAGCAAGCTCCGCCTCCTTGTCTCGCCCGCCGCCGCGCCGCCAGCGTCTTGTCTTGCTTGCATCAAGCGCGCGTGGATTTCCTTAGCAGAGTTATTTTAGAAATGTATTTATTAAACTCTTCAAAGATCTTATACTTACAATCATCAACAAATATATTTCGAAATAGATTATTACAGGATTTTATGTTGATAAAAAACTCTATGGTCCATAAGTCATTAATAGGTACCAACTCTTAACATCTTACACACGTGATAACTTTTAAACGAAATATCCGATTGAGATGAAAGAAAAAGTATTTTACTTCTACATAAATACTCTTGATAACATAATGCTTAATTTTGATAAAATTTAATATTACGATACATATTTAACGTAGTTTTTTTTTCTTCAGACGATTTAATAATTATTTTGAACACAAAATCGGTTATTGTGATTAAACCATGATAGCTAGATATATGTTCTCGTGGACTTTTTTGTAGGTCTTAATGGGATCTACAAACCCGTAGTACATCATTTTTTTCTATTGTCAATAGTTTTTGCAGCGCACGCAAAAATAGGTTTTCGATTTTACACCTTGTGTTACAAGATAGCAATTTTATTACGGATCCCTAATTTTGATAAAAAAAATATAGCCTATAGCCTTCCTCGATAAATGGACTACCCAACACTGAAAGAATCATTCAAATCGGACCAGTAGTTCCAGAGATTAGCGCGTTCAAACAAACAAACAAACAAACAAACAAACAAACTCTGCAGCTTTATAATATTAGTATAGATTTCCCATACACATTCTTGTTAAGGATAAAATATTTTTTAAAGTCATAATTGTTGTATATTTTATGTATTAGTTAGTTGGAAACTTACGCAGACGTAAACCGCATATGTTATTATTATGCAGTGAACATGACATTCCTATTATAAATGTACCTTTTTTTTTAAATAAATGACCAGTATCATCGTTAGGTCCATTACAATGTACGTCAATAATTTAATGTTTTACGACTGCGGTGGTCAACCCATACATAACAAGTGTTAAATGACAATTACCATATTTATGATAATGAGAGAATCTCTATGACCGTGGTTTATCGTACCTTATCTAGTTTCGATGAAGTAGATTATACATGGTGAATGAAGTGCAATGAAAAGAGATAACACAACATTATCAATTTTCTTTAATTAGTGCTTGAGTAAAGTATTCGCAAATGGTTTCATTATAATTATATATTGTTAACTAAGCATAGAGTTATATTTACTAGTTTCTGGATGGCCGGAATCAATAGTCCGAATGGGCTATTGCGCAGTTTCTTCGTTACTGAAAGGCAGAGATTTCAACACACCACTGAAGACACTACAAAGAACCATTCAATATTTTTTTCATTTTATTTATTTATTGAATTTCACATTACTATAAATAAAAAACAATACATTTCACCAGTGCTACAAAAACCTGTGTAGGTTTTACCGAGCTCTGGGAAACTTATGTAGTATTTTAGGTACTATTTATTTAGGTCGTAACCACACAAGGGCGTCGCCAGGTTATGACTAAGGAGGGGGTGGGGGGGCAATATAATAGGTAAGGAAGTCAATTGCTCGCACTTTGGTCGCTTTGTGGCTAGCTACATTTGATCTCTAGCCTGCCCCGCCTTGGCGACGCCCTTGTAACCACACAAGGCGTTCGCATATCGAGTCAGTGTGTTTGCTTCAGTTAAAATCTGGGTTGTTCTTCAGTTCTCTGGTATGGGCGGCGGGGAGGCGGCACAGTGGGGTGGTAGCGCGTCTATTGGCTGCGGGTGCGCGCGCAAACTCTTGCGACAAGTACGCGACGTCTGCGCTGACGTGGGCGGCGCGCGCGGGTGACGTCGCCTCGTGCGCCGCGTTACTGCGCGCCGGCGCTGACCCCAACACCGCTGGCATGTACTGCTGGACGCCGCTGCTGCAGGCTGCTCACGGTGAGTCCGTTCTCAGAAGCGTGACGTAACAGCAACTGCCTCTCGCGATTAGCAGGCTAATCCCGCTATTTATTATTTTTATCTACTCTGATACTAAAATACAAAGATTCTAAAACTGAAAACAAAATGCTTATGACAAACATTACGTACAGGCCAAAAATAATAAAAGAAAAGTTTAATTACGATACAGGTCTTGTATGGACCCCTGTAACATAATATCTCTTATCTATTAGACAAGTCCGTCCGTCCGTCCGTCAGTCTGTGGTGCTGCGACTGCGGCCAAACCGTAAGAGATAGATAAAGAGAATATTTAAGTTATAAGTTAAGAATAGTCTGATAAGACTACAAACCGTTTGAGTAACGTAGCGCTTCCGGTTTTCGAGAAATCACTAATTTCAAACGAAACCACACAAAATCTCCGAAGTTCTCAATTAATTAAATACATTTTTTTTTAGGTTTTGGTGAACATTTGGTTCACTGGTTTGCTAGTAACTTTTTAATCATAACGATACACCTATACAACCTCCAGCTGGACCAAGGAGGTTGAACCTCTACTTTAAAAAGGTTTCAATGAACGAGTCCGCGACGACGCAACACGCATGCGCAATCGATGTTTGCACCTTGGCGCCAACATTTGACATTTAAAAAATCTTTTCAATATTTAAACAATGTTTGGTTTGGTTTGTAAAATACATAAGTTTTTGTGTAAAAACATGTCTGAAAGCGGGGATAGTGGTGATTGTACACCACCAGACATTCTGGAAGCTGCGTCAAACATGACCATGAACCTGTTGCCGACGAAATCTAGGAGCAACTATAATAAATGTTACCACGAATTCATGGAATGGAAAATCAATAAAAATGTTACATCATTTTCTGAAAATGTGTTGTTAGCGTACTTTCAAGAGTTATCTGAAAAATATAAAGTGTCAAGTATGTGGGTTAAATACTCCATGATTAAAAGTACACTCAATATTTACTTTACATTTACATATAACTAAATATAGCAAGCTGATTGCATTTTTGAAACGAAACTCACAAGGATATAAAGGGAAAAAATCCAAGACTTTTACAGCAGAGCAGATAAATAAGTTCTTAAATGAAGCCCCAGACACATCATATCTCTTCACAAAGGTATTTTAGTTGTTTATCAGTTAACCATGTACATTTTTTTTGTTAAAATTGAGTTAATTTACCATAATATATATTTATGAGTTGTTACAGATTGCACTAATTTTTGGTATAATGGGTGCTTGCCGACGGCAAGAGTTATACAACATACAATTAAAAGATGTTGAAGTCTTCGAAACTACACTATTGATCAAAATAAGTAAAACTAAAACCAAGACGGACCGCTCTTTTACCGTTACTGGGAAATATTATGAACAATGCAAAAAATACATAGAGCTACGACCAACTGAGTGCAGCAATCCCAGTTTTTTTCTAAACTATATTGCCGGAAAATGCACGACGCAGAGAGTTGGCATTAACTTGGAGCTTTAGGCAAAGTTATTGCCAGCTATCTTCAACTTACCGACCCCGAATTGTACACAGGACACTGCTTTCGCCGAACATCTGCGACCTTGCTAGTTGACGCTGGTGGAGATATAACGGCACTAAAGCGACACGGTGGCTGGAAGTCAACGACAGTTGCAGAAGGCTATATAGATGATTCAATGACTAACAAGATCGCTGTATCCAATTCAATACTAAACAGTATTGAAAATAACAGAAATGAGGTCAACATTAACATACCCTCTCTGAGTACCTCCAATAACGCTTCCTGTCTAGTTCAAATTCAGTTTCATAATTGTAGTATTCAGAACATCAATAATTATTACAAGTAAAAATAAATTTGTTGTTATATTCAGCGTTTTATTTGCAATATTGTTTTACGTATTATAGTATGAGAGTAGATAAAGAAGTGTATGACACTGTACATAACTTGGTCTTATAACACTCGTGTCATACTATTAAAAAACTCGCCTACGGCTCGTTTTTTTAAAACACACTCATGTTATAAGAACCCTTATTATGCAACAGTATCATAAACTACTATTAACGATCCGCCAAAGTTCAATTATGTTCAATCTTAGTCCAATGCAACTCAACTTTATACGAAATCGCCCAAATTTTCACCTGTCAACTGAAATCTACTTTATGTTTTGAATGAAGTTCACTGGAGTATGGTCCAATCGTGATACGTTTACATCTTAACTAGCTGTCGAAATTTTAGCGCGCTACAAAATGTCATGAAAGGCTTTTCGTTTACGGTTCAATGCGTTTAAATCGTTTGACATTTAGCGCGATCGGCCTCCAGTACCCTCAGCACGAACCATTATCACCACAACAAACGTAACGAGAACTTAAAATCAATACACATTTGACATACAAAATGAATCGAATTCAACTATTCGAATTCAATAGTATATTGTTTTAGAGATGAATATACTTGATATTTTCTAGGTCAACCGTGAATATTTAGAAAGTTACTAAAGCACAAAAGACAATAAATAATAATAAAATATATTAAAATAAGTTTAACTTAGTTGATTGAATAAAAAGTTTCTTACAAGTATTTATAAAATCATTTTCAGTTTCAGAGAATTGTCTTAAAATGTCCAATTATCATCAGTTTAAAAAGTATTAATAAGTTGTAAAATAAACTCGTTTTACCGCAGGGAACCACTTCGAGATCGTGCAAATGTTGCTAGAGCACAAGCCGAACGTGAACGCGCTAGACAAGGACGGGTTTACGGCGCTCGCTATCGCCTGCAAGGAGGGATATTACGATATAGCTCTCGCACTTATCAACTCCGGCGCATACATCAACGTTCAGGTGACGTGCTGTTTTACTTACTATGTCAAATAACTTCTAAATGACCCAAAACTGACAAAGGAGAATTCTCATTAACTCGTAGAATAGCCAAACTTAGCTTTTTATTTTTGTGTGTTAGGTTGCAAATTTCAAGATTGGTTTAGTGACATAAAATTGCAAGCTATGATGATGACTGTTAGTTTATATTGTCACAAAATTTATATACTAAAAATCTTTGATAGGACAGCGCACAAAATTCAATACTTTTTTGTAAAATTGCCTTATATTAGATATTTTGTACAAAACTGGCAGTCATTTCGGGAACATTTTACAAAGGTTGATATAATCACCAAAAATAAAAATTACATGATTTAAAGCTTTGTTTAATAACCTAGGCTATATTATTAATCTATATCTGCATCTGCAGTTATTTAGCACCAATCAATCCATATCGGGCCATAAATCCCTTTTTGAGCGCGAACACGACGCCTCAGCTATATATCCGTAGCCGTGTGGTATGTACGCCGGGTTTTAAGGTGTTGCCGATTCATAGGTCCTGGGTTCAAATCCCGGCGGAGCAAATGTTTGTATGATTTAAACATCATGCAGTACTTATCATTATATTTATTTCCATCCAAAACCCTAGTTCCCATAACACAGGTCTTACAGTGTTTACTCTGGGGCTAGGATTTTTTTATATTAAAAGGTTGGTAAACCACTATTTGGCGTGCCTGATGGTAAGCAGCCCACCATAGCCTATAGCCATCAACAGAAACTCAACATTACCAAATGGTAGTGTTATTTTACTGTAGCCTTCTGAGGAGCTCAATGGCGCAAGTGATTAGCGCGTTCGGCTGCGATCGTTTAAGTTAAGCAACTTACGCAATGGTCGATTATTGGATGGGTGACCAAAAAAAATTTACTATTTCGAGCTTCTTCGTGCTTCGGAAGGCATGTTAAGCCGTTGGTCCCGGCTGCACCGGTAGCACTCACCAATCGGCACTGGGCCCGCGTGGTGGGTCATCAATCTCCCTTTTCTATCCATAGGCCTGTGCTCCAGCAGTGAGGACATTAAGAGGCTGAAGATGATGATGAGTCTTCTGCAATTCCCCAGACGGCCACTGCAATACGCGCGGATTTTGCGCTCTCGTAAAATTTATGTGAGAGTTGGAAATATAAAGGAAAATTTGTTATAGGACCACTCAAAAGACACACCACTGATCCACGCCGTAAAGGGCGGACACAAGAACATCGTAGAAGCTCTCCTAAAGAAGCACGTGGACGTGGACTTGCCTGGCAAGGAGAACAAGACGCCAGTCTACAGCGCCGTGGAGAAAGGGCACGTGTCTATATTGAAACTTCTGCTCGCTTCTAATCCGGACTTGGAGCATACCACTATTGTAAGTTATACCATAAGTTATTATCAAGGAAACTTTAACTATATCCATATCAGTACAGGCAGTCCTCGTACTTACGGCATGTTAGGTAAACGACGCAAGTCAAGACATCCCCACGGACATTGACCGCGTGACAAGTGAATTCTCCTATGCCGGAAATCGTAACAATTGACGTATGCTTGAGGAATAATGTCAAAACATTGTCATTGACGTAACTTGAAACGACGTAAGTCGAGAACTGTCTGTATATGTATTCTATCCGTTACCCTATTATCCCATAACACAAGCCTTACAGTGCTTCTGGGGCAATTGGGGCTAGGCTAATTGGTGTGTGTGTTCGAAATATTTATTATTTAAAAAACATGATACTGTTATTGAAAATGCATAATTTATTAAGAATGCGAAGATGAAATTATTAACGCGTCACAGAGTTATAATATTTATAAATTATTGCCAGTTTTCTATATGCGCTTTTTAATCACACACTCTTGTGAATATTTTCGTTATGGTTATATAACTCGCACTGATAAAAAAGAATGAAAAATAACGTAACACAACATTCTTTCTCGCACATTAATCTTGAACAACATCCGTGCGAGAAGAAGGGAATGTCATGCGTCGTCATTATGGATTCATTTCTTTATTGGCGTGAATTATAAAATCTATTTTGCTGCACCTCTATCTATCGACAACTTTATCATTCGACATAATTTCCATAGTTTCACATAGTAATACAGGCTACAGATTCACTCAGAACATGAGGTTCGTTCAAAACAGTGCACCTCAAAATATTCGCATCAGAGAATTTTACTTAAAATCCATTAAGAAAAATATTTTTTTTACAAAGTAATTTAACTTATTGTGACAGTGAACTCTCTTTTCGCTCCTACTGCCGAATTTAATTTTACGTTTAGCAAATCATAACAGAATCCATTAATCCCTCGTGTGTGTAAGTGAACGAGCCTGATGATTCTGCCACAAGTTGAGAAATTTATTTTTATTTTTCATTTTATCATATTTAGTAATGGTTTTTAATTTACTCATCTAATATATAGACAGGTAAGTTTGTAGAGAAATTATACAGGATTGATTTAAGACTTAAATGAAGCCTGGGTGTACAGTAGAACGCGAATAATAAATGGAAATCAGAAATCATCATCATCAACAGCCTAAATTAGTCCACTGCTGGACATAGGCCTCTCCAATTGCACGCCATTGAGATCGATCTTGAGCTACTCGCATCCAGCTCCTGCCAACCACCTTGCGCAAATCGTCACTCCACCGTGCCTGAGGACGTCCTACACTACGTTTGCCTAGACGCAGTCTCCACTCCAGAACTCGTCTACCCCAACGGTTATCGGTTCCGCGGCAAATATGGCCAGCCCACTGCCACTTCAACTTGCTAATTCGATGGGCTATGTCGATAACTGTGGTACTCTGTCGGATCACCTCATTTTTGATGCGAGCGTTCAGAGAAACGCCGAGCAAAGCCCTTTCAATAGCGCGCTGAGTGACTTTGAACTTGTGGACCAGCCGTACCGTCAGTGTCCAAGTTTCGGCTCCGGATGTAATCACAGGTAGAACGCACTGATTGAAGACTCTCGTCTTTAGGCACTGTGGGATCGACGATGTCAAGACCCGACGTGCTTCCCAAACGCTGCCCAACCCAGCTGAATTCTTCTATTCACCTCGTCCTCAAAGTTGTTTCTACCTAACTGCAATGTCTGCCCGAGGTACACATATTTTTGAACAACTTCGAGAACGGCACCGTGTATTGCAATCGGTTCCGGTAGAACATGTTCATTGAACATGACCTTGGTTTTATCCAAGTTCATCCGTAGGCCGATGCGTATAGAAGAGTCAGCCAGGTCATTCAGCATATGTTGGAGGTCGTGCAGTGTTTCTGCCATGATGACGATGTCGTCTGCAAATCGCAAGTGAGAGATGCGTTCGCCATTTATGTTAATGCCACGTCCTTTCCAGTGCAGCGTCTTGAGCATATTCTCCATTCCATAACTGAATATTTTCGGGGAAATAACGTCCCCTTGTCTCACTCCACGATGCAACGGTATGGGACTTGTTTGCTGATTCTGTACTTGGACCGACATGGTGACGGCTTCGTAGAGACATCTTATCACTTGGATGTATCGCCAGTCGACTTGGCAACGCTGCAGGGACTCCAGGAGAGACCAGATTTCAATCGAGTCAAAGGCCTTCTCATAGTCCACAAATGCTTGGCACAGGGTCTGATTGTACTCTTTAGTTTTCTGTATAATCTGCCGCACTGTGTGGATGTTGTCTATGGTGCCGTATCCGCTCTGAAACCCATCCTGTTCCGGTGGTTGTAAGTCATCAAGTCTTCGCGCAAGACGGTTCGCGATCACTCTTGAGAACAGCTTATAGACGTGGCTTAAAAGGGATATGGGTCGATAGTTCTTAAGTAGGGTCTTGTCTCGCTTTTTATAAAACAAGACGACCACACTTGTACTCCACGCCTCCGGAGATCTACCTTCGAACAGGACAGTGTTAAAACGCTTTTGGAGCTCCCTCAGTACGGGTTTACCTCCAGCCTTTAAGAGTTCTGTTGTAACACCATCCTCTTCAGGGCTTTTTCCATTTTTTAGCTGCCCAAGAGGAATCTCGATTTCGCCAAAACTAACTTCTGGCAGGTCTTCGGTGAAGTGGCGTGTTAATGTGACTCTAGAATCCTCATTTCCGTGATCGGGTCGAGATGCATGTGAACCGGCCGTAGAAGTCTTCCACTTCTGTAAGGACTACCGGCTTTGAAGCAACAACTTCCCCACTTGCTGTGGTCAACTTCGTCAGATGGCTTCTTCCAAGAGATTGTACAAACACTTTGGACCCTCGATTCTGCTCGATCGCCCTCTCGATCGAAAGAGTATTTGAGCACCGGAGGTCGAGTCGTACGTGCTTACTGATCTCTTGGTTTAGAGTCGGCCTTGCCGACGAAGTGACGGGTGTATTTTCATGTCGTTCCTTCATTAACCCTAAAGTTTCTTCCGACAGCTTTGACTTTATTTCCTTACGCTACGTTGCACATAATCTCGTACCCTCTTCCCTGAGGATCCGAACCACATTTTCGAGGCTTTGGTTTACGTCTGATGTGGTTTCCACGGCAGCAAATCGGTTTGATCCAGATTTGACTGGAACGTTTCAGATCCTGTTATGGATTGGAGCAGAGTAGGTCGGAGCCTGGATTTCATCAAACGGACGCGCTCGGCCTCAAAGTTGATATTCAGAGAGCCCCGGATGAGTCGGTGGTCACTACCGGTATTGAACCTGTTGATCACAGAGACGTCTCTGAATATGTACCTCTTGTCCGTCGTGATGAAATCGATCTCATTTTTAGTCATAGCGTCGGGGCTTCGCCACGCCCTCTTCCTTTAAGGTTCGACACGCTGGACATTTCTACAACGTTATTGGCAAAGGACTTATTTACCAAAAACCCAACACCACCTTGGGACTGTTGGTCTCCCTCACGGAAGTACATTAGGTGACCCGATTCGAGGGCTATGGTCCCTCCCCCTCTCTTCGGACTTCACTTAACCCTAGAATATGCCCCCGATCCGATCAATCAATCAGATATCAATATATCTTTATTCAAATTGGATGTATAGTACAACTCTTTAGAATCGTCCAAATATGGAAAATCGGCCGGCTTTTTTATTTTCCGACCGTGAAAAACGAAGCCAAAAAAAAACAAAACACAGCCGAGAGGTTAATGCACTGAGTTACATGTTATGATTGCAGAGCGGCGATACGCCATTGATGCGTGCGGTGCGTTCCCGTAACGCGGAAATGGTGCAATTGTTGTTGGAGAGGAAGGCGCGAGTCAACGTCGCCGATAACCGGGGCGATACCGCGCTACATATAGCTATGAGGGCGCGTTCTAAGGTACACACATATAATAATTTATTTATTTAATTCTATACCACAATCCACAGCATTTTCATTTTTTAGTTATAGCATAAAAGTTTTTTAATTTAATCATCAGCCTACTTGTGGATGCCCGTGACTTCGTCTGCGTTGTTGAATTGGTTTGCCATACAAACATCCACCCCCGTTTTTAACCCCTTAAACGATGATTTCTGGGAGGAAATCTATCCTATGTCCTTTAATAGGACTCAAACTCTCTTTACCAAATTTCATCTCCATCGGTTCATCTGTTTAAGCGTGAAGAGGTAACAGACACACTTTCGCCTTTATAATGTTAGTATGGATTAATGTCCCCTCTACTGTGGCCCAAGCCTTCCCTATGGCCATCCCTATCCATCCCTGTTCTATCACTGGGAGAATGGGCCACGACCCACCACGCAGACCCCGTGTGAAGTGATGGATGTTAACGACAAAATCTGCAGCTAGTGCGGAAGCACTCGGGATAATATTTGATGACGTCAAATCTATGACCGGCCGTTGCAACAATGGTTTAACTTTCAAGGTCGCAGGCAGAACGCGCTAATAATTACGTCATCGGGCTTCACTACAAACAAAAATTATAAACACTAAATAATTCGGCGTAAATCACTCTGATTGCAAGATGACTTATTAAAATACTTGTAGTTATAAACCGGAAAAGAAATACCTGTATATGTTACGTAGTAAGTCGCTTTCTGCGTCGTGTCTGTTTATTCGATATGACGTAAATAACACATGTCAACAATAAAAAAGCAACTTTTTTTCGAGTGTGTTATTTAATGACTCTTGTCTCTTTGTTTATTGATTGATCATGATTGTCGCTTAAGGCGTCGAGGTTGAGCTTTAGTGGACAAAAACATAAACAGTTTGTTGTCCTCGATCGCAACCAATTTACATTGACCCATCAAGACCTTGCTTGTTCACTGTCTCTGCTGCCCTAGTAACCGACCTTCCACTATGCCGCTCAAAAGGACACTACCATTGACTCACAGTTTTGTTACCAGACATATTTATTATACAATAAACAAAATAGAACGCTTCGGACTAAGTACTTTAGTAACAATCAAATTAAAAGTAAGATAACTGACTGGCCTAAGATATACGATTATAAAAGGTGTAGAGAGTCGTGTTTACGGCATCTCGAGATAATAAACACACAGACACACATCAGACAAACATACACGCACATACACACATACATACGCACGCGCACACACGCACTTACACACGCAAGCACACACATACACACACACACACACGCTGTAAAAATATTAAACACTAACCATGTATTTTCCCAATATTAATTTTCTAATTTTAAAACATTAAACATTCCCTTATACGCCTCTCAATTACCATGTAAATGTGTTATATTTTTTAAGAAGACTGGCTCCTAATACACAGTTTAATCCTATATTTTGAGGAGTCAAGGTTCCTTTTGATTTGCTTTCTGGTATTTATCCAATAAAGATTTATTAATATTATTGTTTCTTATATTAATTAGGTATAAGAATTAAAAATGTCAACTCAAAAATCGTGTTGACTAATGTAATCTTAACAATTGGATGTTACTATATAATAAAGTATTGACGATTGTTATTTTTCTTCTTCTTTTCAGCAAATAGTAGAAATTCTTCTTAGGAATCCTAAAAATAGTCAATTACTTTATAAGCCTAATAAGCAAAACGAGACTCCTTACAACATAGACATGAGTTACAACAAGACTATTCTGGGTCAAATATTTGGGGCTCGAAAGCTGAACACAAATGAGGACAATGAAAACATGTTGGGTTATGAGCTTTATAGCGCGGCTTTAGCGGATATGCTGTCTGAGCCAAGTCTATCCGTGCCTATTACGGTGGGCTTGTACGCGCGATGGGGATCTGGAAAATCGTTCTTGCTCAACAAACTAAAGGGTGAGTTTTCTTTGAAATCCTTCGGTATAGCGCTATTTCTCCAGCCAAAATAAAAGTTTACAATACTTTGTGAAAGCATTCTTTTTACATGTTTAGCTTATATGTTTTTATATTAGCTCTTTAAAAAAACCGGCGATCCACGAAGTGATAATTAGTATATTAAATACTGGTGACGATTCTGGCGAGATTCTCTAAACCTAAACTTTAATTGGTTACAAGGTATCCTTGTCATTCTCTATACAGAATGAAAAGGAGAGACTGATACTAAATTTAGTTTTAAGTTTAGAGAAACATGCCAATAGCGGCACCACTATCTGTTGAACAGTTTTTTTATACTGAACTTGAATATCACTCGTTAGATAAATGTATTATATTATATTAAGACGTTTAACTGCGGTATTGAATGTTTTACTTTTCTAAACTATATATTGCTGTAAACTCATTGACTATTCTGTATTATATTCTTTCACTGAAATAACAGTAATCAAACCTACATCAGTAAATAATCAGGGTGCTCATTGTATGACTTTGACTCCTTCAGCGACCACTTTCAAAGCTAAATCAAGTGCAGGGGTGGAAACAAGTCGGTGAAGTCAGTTAAAGTATTTTTTTTTTGAGACAGTAATAGTCAATTTTATTAAATTTGGCCAAGAAAGTGCAGTTTTTGGATCTCAGCGCTACTTTTCTTAAAAAATGTGTCGCTGTTTCCTTTAGTCCCCTAAAATTGTTGTCTGAAAGTAAAGGGTAGTTTGCGTCAAATCCTTTAGTTTTCATTTTTGCAGACTGGTTAATGTTGTTGTCCTAGCCTAATAAATAATCCAAATTTGTCACCTCGAGCGCCGAACGCGATAAAATCGCAAAAAAATTCGGCTTTCTTCAGAATTGGGCGATTGTAACCCTAAAGAAAATATTTAGATACAAGAAAAAAATCTACATGGTCCAGTTTCAGACAGGATTCGAACTCTTTCGCAATCCCGGCAAAAATTCAGTCTACTTTAAATTTAGTTTAAGTGTTGTATTGTATTTGATTAGTAAAAGTCAGTATTTGGTCAGTATATCATTAAGATTTGGTCAGTAGTCAGTAATTCTAGGTCTTCCATCCTTGCAAGTAATAATGTGACAAACTGGTAATTAATCTCGTTCCCGAAATATGAAAGGAATAAAAATTACCTAATCAGGCCCTCAAACTATCTCTGTATCAAATTTCATCAAAATTGGTTCTGCGCTTTAAGCGTGAAGAGGTAACAGACAGACAGAAAACAGACAGACACACTTTCACATTATAATATTATTATGGATTATCAACAGAGGAGATGAAAAACTTCGCCCGTCAATGGAGCGAGACTGGCTGGGCTTGGTCCTGGGCCGTTTCGTGGGGGGCTTGGCACGCCGCCCTAGCGGTGGGGGCCATTACTGCCACCGCGGGAGCTCCCGCTTATATAGCAGTTGCGGTGTGTTTCGCACTGTTTGCGGTCTTCTACATGGCGCTATACGTGCTGTGGTATACGGGAAATAGGTAACAATAACTGACTGATTAATACAATAAACATCCATGACTGAGGTACAAATGCTGGTAGCTCGAACTCATCATACAAACATTTGCCCCATCTGGATTTTAATCCGGGACCTTGGAGAAGGTATCTCAAACTCATTTATTCAGTCTAGGCTGTTACAAGATCTTATGAAAGTCAAACGCTACGCCATCGGTTCGTAAATCTACGGCGGGAGATCTTGTACTAAGAAGAACGGGCAAGAAACTCAGCAAGGGCTATTTTTTTCTCCTTGTATTGTTTCATACAGTGTCGTTAATTGAAAGATTAAAAACATGTGTTGATGTCAACTTTCATCACATTCATATTATTTAATTAACAATAAGTTAAGTATGCATCCAGTATGCATTGATGGGTGCTAATAACTGCAGGTGCAGCCGGCGCCAACGGTTTATCATTCCTTCCAAAGCTCGAGGGAATAAAATGTGACGAATTTTCTAAATATGCCATAAAAAGTTTTAATATTTATACGAAGATAATACATAAAAATAACACAAACTTAAAAACTATAAAGCTTAACCTACTTACCTACATCTTTTGCCATTGTGAAATTACTAAACTACCACGACCGCTGACCTAACGCGCTATAAACAATAATTCCATTGTGCTTTTACAGATAAATGTTCACAACTGGCTTTAACTATTTGCACGTAACAGTTATCAACCGGCATGGCTCTTCTATGTCTTCCTTTCACTCCCATATCACCACGGGCAAGCAGATAACACGGTTACGGATACATTGGGATTAAGAGAGAGTTGCACTAACTTACTTTAACTGTTCAGTTGAAATTAACCGATACGGCTAGGTAAAAAATAGGTTGCACTAGTTGACGATAGTCAAAATATAAATTTTAACAGTTATAAAAACTGTCCAAGCGAGGCCAGATGAAGTTATTGTAAAATTTAACTTCAGCTGACTCTGTGGTGACTCACATTTAGATTTACAGATTATCAAACTTTTTTACTGACAAACGTGAGACAAACTAGGAATGAGAACGGAGTATTTATTAACGGATACAAAAGTGGAAAAAGGTAGTCCAGAATTATTTTATGTTTGTGTAAAGTAAAGGGAGTATGTGTGTATTATAAATGGCGTATAAAAACAACATTATCCTCTCACAATCATGCTATGATCACATTTCATTAATAATCTCAACTGGAGTACAAAGTTGATGTATTTTCGACTTTTATAAATAGAAATAGATAAGTATTTACATCTGGACCATTTCCTTGCCAACTAATTTATTTATCACAGCTCTGTTGATGGACGCTGACTTGTGATGAATGCAGATATTTTTAGATCATTAATTTGTTCTATGGAGCTCCTCCTAATTGTGTCCTAATAATTGTTTTGAACTAATAAAGTTATTTTTAGAATACTAGCGGCTCGTCAAGGCTTCACACGGGTGTATTAAATACTATGGAAACATAATGAATCTGCAATCACCAGATTTTACAGCTTAGCAAAAAGTTTCTAAGTAAATAGGTCGAGTATATTAAATCTATTTGACCATTGACATGTCCATCCTGATTTTTCTGTTTAGCAGTGAGTTTCTTCTAGGCATATAGGTTGAATACCTTTTTATCCCGGAATTCCCAAACCGCGTTGCGCAGCTATTAATAACATATTAGAGCTTTGTTATCTTATTATTTGTCTGGGCAATAATAGGATCCTACTATCCAAATTTCATCAATCTAGGTCCAGCCGTTTCGGCTGTGCATTGATGTCCTTTTTTTCTCTTCATATAATAGTACAGATGATAAATTTGATGACTAGCTTTAATAAATCAACCTCGAGTAAATTACAATTTTGTTCCGTTTCTTAACAACATTTGATATTATTATCTAAATAATAAATATATTAAGTAGGTATAATATATTAAATAGGCATCAAAATTCTTATAGGTAACGAATTAGAAATGATATGGAAGCATTACTCTTTAATAAAGGTCGCTTAAACATGGTTCCAAACTCACAACTAAACTTCAATACTGGTGCAACACGGACACGGATAAAACAAAATACTTTGACAAATCAAATATCTGCAAATGAATTCGCCTATCTATTCATTGGGTAAAATAATATTAATCGAAAATCGTCGTCTTGATCGCATTTTTTTTGCCCCGCCCATTTGGTCGTAGTTTGCGTGGAACCACTTTTTAACGCATTTCGCATTCAACATTATTTCTAATTCGTTGCTTACTGGCCTATCTTATTGGTATTTGATACATAATATCTTTGAATGGCAACACGTATGTTGATAACATTTAAATCCCTAGGTATGAATGGTGGTGGGCGGGCGGTGTAATATCGGCACTTGGTCACAAGTTCGCTTCTTTGTTGCTAGTGTTGCAAGTTGTGTTCTGTCACCCGCCCGGACCCAACGACCCGGGGGCGCTGCCGGCCACGCCTATAAGGTAAATATAAAATGGATTTTTAAATTATATATATCGTAACCTATATCATAAGTTTGTCAATAAGATGTCAAAGACATTGATAGCGACTCAAAAAATACTTACGGAACTTCACTTAATGACTCTGCTGACAAAATGTTGTCATAATTTAGTGGACAAAAGACCATATGAAGGTTTTGAATACTGTTTCCTATTTTAATCGAAATCATTTTAGGATTCTGTACCTTAAGGGTGACAAATATTGTCACGGGGCTTTACCTCTTGAACGTATATTGTTGCCGCTATGGCTACAAATTGTGAAAATTTATTAAATTTATTGAGGGGTTGCTCCATACATAAAACGAGTATTTTCTACTTGTTCTGCTTGATCACTAGTTTTAAATATTGTACTATGGTACGGAACCAGAATCATTCTGCAGCAGGAAAACTATAAAAAAAAATTACTTTAAATGTAATATCTAACGCTGTCGTAACTTATAGTATATGAAACTATCTTTGTTAAATCTCGCATCAACAGATTCCATTTTACTGAGGGCATGAAAAGCGGCGCTGGCCAAGAGGGCGAAGCGATGGTTGTGCAAATGATAGCCAGTCTGGCTGAAGCGCTCGAATGCCAATACGGGCGAGTTTGTACGAGACTCGCGCGAGCCTTCCGACCCAAGCCGGTCTCTTCCACCTCGGGCTGGAAGTGAGTATTATAATTATAATAATAGGGACTATGGATGATTATTTTTATGTTTTTATTTCATGAAAAAATAGTGTGATGTGTCTAAAAAAATGTTAAAAATAGCTACTTTGCACAGGCATTTTAAACGCTAGCTGTTTTCGAACTCTTGGTGGACGTCACAATCTATAACAACCTAGCAAAAAAATAAACAAGGATTAGAAGGTTAGATGCGCACGCAGTACTCACTCGCGCACTTTAATTTCTCACAAGTTTCTCGCACATTTCAATTCTTGTTCAAAAATAAATTTTATAAAAAATATTGATGGAGGGACAATTCAAAATAAATAGAGTTTATATACAAAACAACAAATGGTATAAGACTGAATTACTTAACAAGTGATTCTCTGACCACTACTGATAATATTTTACTGAAAAGTGAGGATTTCGAACCTTATGTCATTGAAGATGTTTTGTCATTGATGTTGTATGTTTTTTATTAACACTTTCTTTCGTTTCATGGTAGTCTTTTTAATTTTTGAGCGCCTCCAATGAAAATGAACCAACATTTTTTTGTTATTATTAATATACTAGTCTGCTTTAAACAATTTACACCAAAGGTAAACAAACACTTTAACACTCGATTCCCACGCTCACATGACTCACTAAATGCATTTTTCAACATATTCAATTACATTTCGAGGGGTTTCACTTATTAATGTACCATCTTTTATAGCAGTAATTTCTTCATTAATTTATGAAAAATCATAAATAAAAACTCAAGTAGAAAAGTTGTTTAACCAGATGAGAATTGTATGTTGTCTATGGTTAAACAGTGTTGCACCGAAAAGTCTATTGAAAATAATTTTGCTACTAATTAAGCCTTATAGATCTTTAACAATTTCTAAGAATATGATCATTCAATTGATTAATTGATTTTGATAAGGCTCTTTAAATCCCCACCACTAAATTGTCTATGGTAAGACTTACCTGCCTCTTTTTTTACTTTTGGTCTATATTCGTTTGGAACCGACTAAACGTTGGTAAATATGGTTTTAAAAAAAATCTTTCTCCAATTATTTAAAATGAATCGTGAACTTGTTCTAGATGGCGTAGAGTGTGTTGCATCCCTCACATCGTGACCTTCGAGTTGTGTTTCACGTGCATACTGATCGGAGTCTGCGTGCTCATCATGTACTACACGGACAAAGTGTCTGATACTCCGTAAGAATTGGCGAATTATAAATCATTATTGATCATATATTCGTTTACATCAACAATATTTTGCTTTTCGAGCTCGATGTAAAACACGTACACAAATCCCCCCGCCCAGGTCGATGGGCAGTGTAGTTTGTTTCATTGGCTATTTTTTTGACAACTAGCGGTGGCTCCGTTCCAAACCTACGCTCCGAGTACAACTTTTTACTGTGATGTTTCAATTTTGACATAAAATGTACGAAACTTTTGCCAAATTTGCATTTGTTGCACCTGGATCGTAGTTTTTGAACGTAACCCTGTGTATTTTATATACGACAGCCATACGTGGCCAGTAGACGGCGTGTGTAGGGAATCATATTTCAGAAACAACTTTTTGTTTTATTGAATGTTTTCAAAAATCTTGCTGGAGACCGTGATTTATGTTAAACTGTATATTTATCTCATCATCATCATCAACCTATTAATGTCCCCACTGCTGGAGCACAGGCATTCCCTAAGGATCCACCACGCGGGCATAATGCCGATTGATGGATGCTTACGACTGCCGTTGCCGGGACCAACGGCTTAAAGTGCCTTCCGAAGCACAGAGGAGCTTGACATACCGAGTAAATTTTCGGTCACCTATCCCATGACCGACCACTGCGAAAGTTGCTTAACTTCAATGATCGCAGCCGAACGCGCTAACCATTTGCGCCATCGAGCTCCTGTTTTTATCTCATAGCGCACCTTTACTGTTAACTTATGGGATGCAACTCGAGCAGTTAAAAGTCTGATACAAACAGCGTTGCAAGTTTTTTTTGCCAAGTCGGGATTTAGGAACTTTTTGAGTGAAAAAAGCGGGAATTTTTCGGCGAAAGCGGGACATAAAAAAACGTATATAATCAAAAGTTATTGAATAATTATCTTCATTACGCGCCGGGCAGGCGGCCAATCCACACTTGTCTGTGCCACCTGCCCGCGCTTTCTCAGTACACTGCACGCACGGTCGAGTTTTTCCCGAAAAGCGGAATTGAGCGCGTCCCGCGCGGGACATTAAATTTTGATTTAAAAATCGGGACGTCCCGGCTAAATCGGGACGTCTGGCAACGCTGGATACAAACGTGGCGCGGCTCTAAGTGGCGTCGTCGTTTAGGTGGCGTGAAGATCAGCGCGTGCGCACTGGCCGGTGTGGTGGTTCTCGCGAACCTGTACATGTGGGGGCGCGTGCTCGCCGCGCTCGTGATCTAGGCCGAACGTCCTAACCATTTGCGCCATTGAGCCACTGTATTTATCTCATAGCGCACCTTTTAAGTTAACTGATGGGGTGTGACTTGAGTAGTTATTTAGATTGGAGTGTGATACAAACGTGGCGCGGCTCTAAGTGTCGCTGCACACGGGCCACCGGCCACAACCACAAAACGCCGCCACCGGTATATTTCCTGTAGTCTTCATACATTTTATATGGACTCACCGCACACGCCACACGCTACGTGGTGAGTCCATGTAAAATGTATGAAATCTACAGGAAATATGCCGGTGGCGGCGTTATGTGATTGTGGCTGAGGCCCGTGTGCGGGGGACTCTAAGTGTCGTTGTCGTTTAGGCGGCGTGAAATCCAACAGGGCGTGATGATCGGCGCGTGCGCGCTCGCCGGCGTGGTGGTGCTCGCGAACCTGTACACGTGGGGCCGCGTGCTCGCCGCGCTCGTACTACCGCCGCGCACCAGGCTCGCGCGCGCGCTCAAACGGGACGCGCCCACGCTAGCGCTGCGCCCCGAGCTGCACGCGCTCACGCACATGGTGAGATTGAAGTGATGAAAATAAATAATAATATGTTTAAATGATATGTTACTGATAACAAACTGATAATTACGAAACTAAAATGATACGACTGTGAGAACGCGTGGTAGGAATAATGACGGATGACGAACTGATTTATAATTAACCTAAATAAATGCATGTGGCATAAAATGCCGACTGGGCAAATGTACGCGCTTGCTCGTACAATAATAATAATTTAATTTATTTGCATTAAAAATATAGTTCATAAGTGGTACATTTTATAGAAGTACATGTATTCTACCTGCAAGCAGGTGTGCAAATATTGCAGTCAGCTATTTTGTCATCTGTCATATATTCCTTAATACTATAATAACATTTTGTTTGTAACCATTATGTTAACTTACTTTTAAACATTGTTCCTGTTTCTAATTTTATATTGTCACATTATAAGCATTAACTCTATAAATATATGCGTGGCAAGGAGGCTGATATAATAAGTTTTACATTGACATCTCGTGAGTCTATTGCTCATTTCTACGCGCTTCCCGAAATACCTGATGTGATCCCTGACAAAGAAACATGCTTCCTTTATATACATGCAGGGCAATGGAAGTATTTCAGATAAACATTCGCCTTAATTAAAAATACGCGATAACATACAGGAAAAGTCTATTCAAATCGTTAGAAATAACACCTGAAAAAATCTTCGTGTGAAAAATCCCTATATTCCGTTTCACTCATATATTTCCCGGTCATTCTGCAGTGATAGAGGGACATCATACCGCTGCATATAAGTCCATCTAATCCCATTTTTAAAAGAGGTAGGGCATAGGGTATTTTTACGCTCGACATACTATATCCGTCTAGAAAAGTGACGTCTACCTTACAGATGTTCTCTTTTATCAGTAAGTAAGGTTCCAGAACTTCACTAGGTTAGAGACACTGTCAGGGTAGGCAACGACGCAAGCGAAACTTTAATATCACACGTCTATAGGTTTTGGTGGTCGCTCAATCAAACAGATCATTTGCTTGTTTACCACCTTATTATATTAGAAAAATCCAAACTCACCCGCAGGTATCATGTCTGGACGCATTCACTGGCCAACAGACTCGCTAGGTAATAGTGGTGGACGCTCTAGACATCTATGAGCAAGAGAAGGTGTTTGCTTTGTTCAACGCCGTTCAAGCGTTCTATTCAAATACGAATTTTGACAGCTCCGTAATCAAAAAGCTAGTTTTTTCACGCGTCCGATAGGAGCGCTGCTTAGTTTTCATAGAAACTGGCGATGCGATACGATTACAGAGCTGTGAAAATTCGTGCTTGGGCCTCAGACCCAAACCCCCTTATTAATAAACAAGGAATAAACTTAGACTACTTACGCCGTGTTTTGTTAGTATCAATCAAAGTAATTTGTCATTCAGTGAACAGAGGCAAAACATGGATTAAGTAAATCAAGCTTATTTTGCGTTTATTAATAAGGGGATAAGAGCCCACCTCTTCATTATAGAATAGTATAGAATATATTTTATTAACCCTCATATTACAGATATTACACATTTACAAATTTAAAAAGCTCAGGGCTAACCAGGATCCTGCCTCAGCATTAGCTGATGCGACATTGTATCAACATTACGTTGATACCTCTCCATTTTATATTAAAAGCTCAATTCCCCCGCAGGTATCATGCCTGGACGCATTCACCGGCCAACAGACTCGCTTAGTTGTGGTCGTAGACGCTCTAGACAGCTGTGAGCAAGAGAAGGTGTTGGCTCTGCTCAACGCTGTTCACGCGCTCTGCTCAGACCCGAAGAGCCCCTTCATACTTCTACTCGCTATTGACCCTCACATCATCAGCAAAGTTAGTACCTATTTATTATGTTTAATAATTTATTATAATACTTCTGCGAAGTAGCATAATGTATACTATGTTCAAAATAGTTTGACGAAGTAGCATTTAAAACTGCCACATTAGCGTTAAATCAATCAAAGACGCAAACAAAATAAAAGAAGGAAATGTTTGAAAACAGTACTTCCAGTGTTCTTGTTATTGTGAAACAGATGCTTCTTACACCTATCAATTTAATACCTTATGTTTTAAGAGTGTGTGTCAAAAATTTGCTGACACTAATGAAATATGGGCGGTGTGTTTACAAGCATTCTTACTGTAAATTATTATTCATAAGCTCTTACTCCAGTATGTTTAGGGTGGCACTTCACAAGGTTATTTGATTAGTGTTTTTTCAACACTAAATTGCCGAACGATTTGATCAACAACAACATGGTGGTCGAGTTGGTCCTTTAACGGGATTTTATTATTTAAATTCCTTCTACAATTGCTAAACTATCTAAAATACCTATGCTACGAACAAGATAGCGAAACTGTATAGTTGGAGGCAAGCGCACTTGTGAATATTGTCAGTCCATTTGCCTCCGTAGAATAAAAATCTGTTCTATTTTAGATAAGTGACAAATCACATCAGTTACAAATAACACACATAGTTTCAAAATAAGCCTTTCATTTTATGTTATTACTTTGTAGTGATGTTGAATTAAATTTCTTCTTCGATTATCTCATATCCATCTGTTTATCCGTATTTATTTCAAAAATACGAAATACGAGAACAGCTTCAATACTTTTTAGCAGTAGTTAGTTTCGATTACTTTTTTTATTAACTTTTTAACGTTAAAACTAATTGCAGATCTTCTCATTCTTACCAATTTCGAAACATGGCATTAATGTTGATTCTGGCATGATTCTCTAAAGTAAAAATTAAATTTAACATCAGTCTCTCCTTTTCTTTCTGTATAGGAAATGACAAGGATAAACTGTTGTCAAATATAATTTAAGGTTTAGAGATTCATGCACGAATAAACACCATTGGCAAATTTACTTTACATTTTGGATCTTTATTTTAAACGGGATGGGAAGATCTGTAGCAGTAATTACCGTGCAACTTTTAATACTAGATTTAACATGCTTCACCTATGTGCAGGTTGCTTGGATGGAGGTTAGTTATGCGATTAACTGTGTGATCTTAAAGTTGACCCTGATGGCTTGATATTGTGTTTTATTAATTCGAATATGTACTGCTCGCTGGACAAAGTGGCTTTTTAATGATATTGTCAATTAACAACATAAAAAATATATGTTAATTGTTATATTGATTTTTACGTGGATTGTACTTTAATACCTGCATGATTGTCCAAAATCGCTGTTAGCTAGCATCATCAACGGTTGATTACTGTTGTATAAGTAAGGTATTGCATGCAAACTTGTGTTTGATTCTCTAAATGTATTTATCCTGTATGATGCTGTTAAACAAGCTATTAAAATATTGTGTTTTAATATTGATGTCTGAAGTGCTTGTATAATATACTAATAACAAAATAATACTGAAGTGACACCCAATCACACAAGAAAATTACTTTAATTAAAGTTTTGAACATCCATACACAACTGGGCAATTATATACATACACCTTTACCATAACCTAGTCGACTCAAATTGTCTATAGAAAACACTTGCGATTCGGTGCTCGAATAAAACCAAAGCTTCCATAAAACTAAGTGTAATATCACGTCGTTGGGACACCCACAACAGGCTGTGGAGGTGAACAGCCGTCGAGCGTTCTCTGAGAGCAACATCGGCGGTTGGGACTACCTTCGGAACATGGTGCAGCTGCCGTTCTACCTGCAGAACTCTGCGCTGCGCCGCGTAAAGACCGCCCAGCAAACTGCCGCGAAACGTATGCAATCTCTGGCTGCTGATGACTTCTCCACATCACTACAGAGATCTGTGAGTTGAAAATCTTTAAGATATTTCAGAAGGTGTTCAGCTCCCATCTTGAGAAACAATGGCGGACTATCTTTGAAACATGGTGTAGCTGCCGTTCTAACTGCAGAACTTTGCGCTGCGACATGTGAAGACCGTTCAGCAAACTACCGCCAAACGTACGCATGGTCTGGCTCAGGACTTCTCCACGTTGTTGCAGAGATCTGTGAGTGAATAGTCTTCGTCTATTATTGATAAGTCATGAAGTGATAAACTTCATCTTGAATCGATAGTGGTTGGGACTTCGCAATATATTAAGCTGCTTATCGATCTTCAGTACTCTGACTACGCAGCAAACTGCAGCAAAACGTATGCAAGTTTTGGCCGATGATGACTTCTCCAAATCGCTGCAGATATCTGTAAGTAGCCAATCTTTTTTCTATTCCTGATAAGTCCAGAAGTGTTCAACTCCATTTTGAGCAATGTTAGCGGTTGGGACTATCTTTGCAACATGATGCAGCTGCCTTTCTACGTGCAGAACTGCGTTGCGACGCATGGAGACTGTGCGGCAAACTGTCGCTAAACATATACATGCTCTATCCGCTGATGACTTCTACAAGGTCAAGAAGTAACTTCATCTTAAGGGAAGGATCGCGATTGACACTACAGTGACATGGCGCAGCTGCCGTTTTTTATGCAGATTTTAGCTTTACGCTGCAAGTATCGCTATTTTCAAGTTGAATTTTTTTTAACTCCATTTAAGTTCCATTAGTAGAGTAATTGTTTAAGTTTAACAAAAAAATCAGCTTGCAGAGTTCTGCATCTGTATTCATATTTGTATATTTACGGTGCGATAACATACGAGTCATCTTAACATATTTATCATATATCATCATAAAAATACTTAAAATGTCACCTAATGAAAGCAACTAAATCATTAGGTATCGGCTCGTCGCCTGTCCAACACGTCAGAGCTGATGTCCAGCCAGGAGCGTATCAAGAACCAGGCGGGCAAGGAAGTTCCGAGCAGTAGCGTTCAAGCGGCGCGCGCCCGGAGACTTCGCCCTTCCGAGTCGGTGGCATCTTCGGTCGCCTCAGGGCTCCACAGGGCGGCGGCGCCGGCCGCGGGCGCTGCAGACTTGGGCCGCGTACTGCTGACAGACGACTACTTCAGCGATGTTAACCCTCGCAGTATGCGTCGATTGATGAACGTTTTGTACGTTACTGGTGAGTTGATTGAAGGGCTGATTAAAGTCTCGCATAAAACAAACCTCGCAAACGAATAAATTGCTATAGAAAGTTTCGTGCTCAAAAAAATTATCGACTAGATTGTATATGTGACTTAATAATGTGGTCATTGATAAATACAAGTGATGGGTTTACCGATTCATTACTAGCACTTGGCTGATACAAATGTGTGTTCAAGTTGTTGGTGATATGTGTGTACTTATTGAACTTTCAAATTTAAATAACTGCGTAAAATAAAGCATTTTGCCAGCATCACAATATGTTTCCACCCAAAAATAATAATAAATCAACTGTCCATCATCACCTACCAAAATTTTCCCTGTATTTGTAGCTTCAACGTGAACTTTGAATCGAGAAAATAAAGCGACAAACTGTGATTCCTCATCTACCGTTACTAGGAGTCAAATTAAAGAAGTTTTCATTATTTTTAATCATTATATTCTCTCAGGTCGGCTGCTGAAAGCATTCCAAATAGAATTCAACTGGTACCAACTCGCGTCGTGGGTTAATCTGACGGAGCAATGGCCGTTCCGCACCTCCTGGATAATCTACCACCACGAGACCTATGAAGACCACATTGATGACTCCACGTCGCTCAAACATATCTATGAGAAGTAAGCACGCGGAGAAAATGTGACCTTATGGTGATGGAATACGATGTATTTTGCCGCCGAGTTTTCTAGTTCTACTATATTTACTTATTAAAATATACTGTTGTTTGTTGCAAGTTTTTTTTGTTCTCATTTAGGAATTACTCAGTTTGAATATAACATTACACGCTTGTTCTTTAAATATATACCTATTTTTATTGAAATGATCGACGTGTCTTAAAAGCTTACGACACCTGCAAACATTATTTGAAGTAAACTGCATGTTGATTTGTTACATTAGGGCCCATTTTACAGTAAAAAATAATGACATGTTATTATTTCGTTTCGTGTCTTTCCGAAACTACTCATGGTAATAACAAATCATTTTTGTTTTATGAACTTTTGTGATTTTCTGTTTTAAAAATATTATGAATGATAGTTTTATTCACTTTATTTAAATATATTAAAGTGATAAACATCCTATATTCATTTTCATTAATTAAATGTAATTGAAAAAAATGCCAATTCCAGTATTGGTCAAAGACCTTTCATCGACTTTGTTTACATGTTCAATCGCACCTCGTTGGCCGTACTTTACCGTGTTATCCCTTGTTGTCAAAGAGTAACTCAGTAATCATGGCAGTTGCAACTGAGTCGAAATATCGGGGACTCGCGTAAGATAAATTAACATAATATTATTATTCCGACTGCTCTGCCATACTTACGTTATCTGTTGTTAGATTTGTATGTTTTTTATTTACTCACACTATAATAAGATACGTCTGTTACTAACAGTGCTCTATAGATTTTTAGGTCTGTAATCTGTAATATATAAAATTTTCGTGCCACGGTGTTCGTAATTGAACTACTCCGAAACGTCTCGGCCGATTTTCGTGAAATTTTATATGCATATTCAGTAGGTCTGAGAATTGGACAACATCTATTTTTCATCTCACTAAATGTAATGTTTTTTGGACAATTTTTTTTGTTTTTATTTTTTTGTGATTCATCATATAAAAATACATATAACCCTAAATTTTCACTCTTCTACCACGAACCCCTATATTTTATGGTGGTACGAAGTTCGCTGGGACAGCTAGTAAATGTATATTATTATTATACTAGAGTGAAGCCAGTAATGAGCAATCTCCGCGAAGCTAGCACCCTTATGGAACTGGATCGCGACGAACGCAAACTAGAGGTGTTCCTGAGCTTCCACCGGTCCACGCTCACCGCTGCTGACCTCAAGATCTTCCTGCCATTCACCATCAATCTGGACCCCTACATCAAGAAAGTCATTAAGGGTTAATTGTTTTTTTTTTATATAGATAGGTCCGACAAATGACTCCACCCCACCTGATGTTAAGTGAAGATGAAGTCCAGACGCGACGATATATGATGGATATATTAGAAAGATAGTATATAAGTGGATTGATTTAGTTCTGGTATAAATGCTCATCAATAGTTTGTTATTAACGACGTTTATTGAAACACCATTTCTTTGTTTTCACCTCTTTTGTTCTCTAATAATATTTGGTTTCATTTGAATTTATAACTAACAAAATATGGAGATGGTCTAAAATAAATAAATTATTATTATGTGGAGACGGAGTGCACAGCTAATGTTGGATTAAAATTACATCAAATTAATAAATTAAACCCAACACACTAATGCGTTCCAACACACACAATGACTGACATGACACTTGATTTGATAGATTAAAAAGGTCTTAAATAGTACTTATAAATAACACCGTTGTATGATCACTCTAAATAAAAATGAGTTTAAGACCAAGGTAGAAGAGTGGATATTATACTGGATATATAACGTGCACTTACAGTGAAACAAAACACTTTAAAATATAGATCAAATTATCACAACACACACAATGTCTCACATATACACACAAATAAACATATATACACAAACACATACACACACACGCACACATTAATCAATAACGTTTTGTAATCATCCGGTGTCTCGAATCGAAGCACTGCCATTCATAATGCAGGTCTTACCTAGCATGAAAGTCTTACTTATAAGATTCTATGATAGCAAACCATTCCTAGTTTATTTTGAGATATGTTATTGTTGTACTTCTTGTAAGGTTTGATGAATAAACATTATTATTATAACTTTAGAGGAACAACTTCAGTCTGGGGTGGACGAAGACGTGGGCCCGGGCGGCGCGGCGCCCTGGGGCACTCCTCACCACCCGCGTCATCATCATCCACACTCCAAACTGTTCCACAGGAAACATGTACGTACTACAGGTTTTTTTTTTGAGTTTCGTACCCAAAGGAACGAAACGAGATCCTATTATAAGGACTACACTGTCCGTCTGTTTCTTATGTAGAAGCAATAAATGCTCTCTCTCTCTCTTTCTCTCTATCTCTCTCTCTATTCTTCGAGTTTTACTCTCAATTGCAATATGAAGTTAATTCCTTTGTCGATATTGATTTTATGGCATTATCACCAGAAACTATTTACAGCAATTCTGTGTTTATACTTTGTTTTCTTCATCATCAGCCCAATTAATGTCCCCACAGCTAGGGCACAGGGCTTCTCTATGGATGGAATAGGGAGTTTGGGCCATGACCCACCACGCGGCCCCAGTGCGGATTGGTGGGTGCTAACGACTGCATGATGCAGCCGGGACCTACGGCTTAACGTGCCTTCCGAAGCACGGAGAAACTCGAGATAGTAAATATTTGGTCACCCATCCAATGACCGACCACTGCGAAAGTTGCTTAACTTCAACGATCGCAGCCTAACGCGCTAACCACCCGCGCCATCGAGCTCCTTGTTTAGTTTTAGTTTTCTTACTAATTCTATATTTTTGCAGCGCTTATCGCCTCCAAGCCAGACCGCAGCGCCAGTAGCGGTGAGTCCGCAACAGATGTGGGTGGGTTGGGCCAACGCGCCCCCGTACATGCAGCAAGGGATGACGCAACAAATGCCGCAGTTTGCCCCCGCATACCCGCCCCAAGCACCAGTGCAGAACCCAGTCAATATGCTTAGAACGGCGTTTCCGGCTTTGGTACGTTTTGATGTAATTTAAATTGTTTGCTATAAAGTTTTATTGGTATACCAATGAAATGTTATTTGTGTTTTTTAGTTGTTGAATCACAGTTGTTAATAATATTATCAAATTGCAAATAATTCTATAGTAGAATTCGCGATTATTACTTATTTTATTAGTTTTTACTAGAAATAAATATTAACAATGTTTCGATTCTGCGACCACAAAACAAACTGAAACTGTAATTTTCCTTCAGAAAGACTACGGAAAAGTAAACACATATGCCATCTGTGGCTCTGTTAAGCTGTCATAGAATATTATTGTATATTTGCGATCTATCTATGATAGTCGAAATATAATTTTGTTCTAGAGTTTGCAATGTTATGACTAGATACGGTTTCCCAGCGAATCAGGAATGATATGGAAGCATTATTCTCTAACAAAGGTCGCTTAAACATGTTTCCACACTCATGCAACTAAACTTTTATACTTACGCGATACGCACACAGACAAAACATAATTTGGCAAATCAAACGGTTGCGAATGAATTCGACTATTTATTCATTGAGTAAGATAATGTTAAAAGGAAATCCCAACCAAGCCCATGATTGGCGTGTTGGTCGCTTTGTTTTCGCCCCGCTTACTTGATCGCAGTTCGCTAAGAGCCACTTTTTAGCGTAGTTCGTATTCCATATTTTTAATTCGTTGCTGTTTCCTTATAAACAGGGTGACGTATCCGGGCTGCGTTTGTCAACGTTAAGCGTGGAGCGCGTGTGTTCCCTGGCGCGCGCGGCGCTGGGCGCAGGCGGAGAGACTGCGTGCGCGGCGCTGCAGCGGCACCGCGTGTGCGGGCTCGCGCTCGCTGCGTGTCGCCTGCACGAGCTGGAGCCGGTGTGTACATGTAGACAGGGTGACGTGTCCTGGTTGCGTGTGTTCCCTGGCGCGCGCGGCGCTGGGCGCAGGCGGAGAGAATGCGTGCGCGGCGCTGCAGCGGCACCGCGTGTGCGGGCTCGCGCTCGCTGCGTGCCGCCTGCACGAGCTGGAGCCGGTGTGTACATGTAGACAGGGTGACGTGTCCGGGTTGCGTGTATTCCCTGGCGCGCGCGGCGCTGGGCGCAGGCGGAGAGAATGCGTGCGCGGCGCTGCAGCGGCACCGCGTGTGCGGGCTCGCGCTCGCTGCGTGCCGCCTGCACGAGCTGGAGCCGGTGTGTACATGTAGACAGGGTGACGTGTCCGGGTTGCGTGTATTCCCTGGCGCGCGCGGCGCTGGGCGCAGGCGGAGAGAATGCGTGCGCGGCGCTGCAGCGGCACCGCGTGTGCGGGCTCGCGCTCGCTGCGTGTCGCCTGCACGAGCTGGAGCCGGTGTGTACATGTAGACAGGGTGACGTGTCCGGGTTGCGTGTATTCCCTGGCGCGCGCGGCGCTGGGCGCAGGCGGAGAGAATGCGTGCGCGGCGCTGCAGCGGCACCGCGTGTGCGGGCTCGCGCTCGCTGCGTGCCGCCTGCACGAGCTGGAGCCGGTGTGTACATGTAGACAGGGTGACGTGTCCGGGTTGCGTGTATTCCCTGGCGCGCGCGGCGCTGGGCGCAGGCGGAGAGAATGCGTGCGCGGCGCTGCAGCGGCACCGCGTGTGCGGGCTCGCGCTCGCTGCGTGCCGCCTGCACGAGCTGGAGCCGGTGTGTACATGTAGACAGGGTGACGTGTCCGGGTTGCGTGTATTCCCTGGCGCGCGCGGGGCTGGGCGCAGGCGGAGAGAATGCGTGCGCGGCGCTGCAGCGGCACCGCGTGTGCGGGCTCGCGCTCGCTGCGTGCCGCCTGCACGAGCTGGAGCCGGTGTGTACATGTAGACAGGGTGACGTGTCCGGGTTGCGTGTATTCCCTGCCGCGCGCGGGGCTGGGCGCAGGCGGAGAGAATGCGTGCGCGGCGCTGCAGCGGCACCGCGTGTGCGGGCTCGCGCTCGCTGCGTGCCGCCTGCACGAGCTGGAGCCGGTGTGTACATGTAGACAGGGTGACGTGTCCGGGTCGCGTGTGTTCCCTGGCGCGCGGCGCTGGGCGCAGGCGGAGAGACTGCGAGCGCGGCGCTGTAGCGGCACCGCGTATGCGGGCTCGCGCTCGCCGCGTGCCGCCTGCACGAGCTGGAGCCGGTGCGTACATAGGAGCGTTAAATCCTACCGCCCAAAGGGCATTGCCCGAGGCGGCAGGCTGCAAAGGTTGGAGTATGCGTGGAGCACGTACAAAGGCATTTGTTACTGAACTATATTTTCATTGTTTGATCACGTCGTAGAAGAGCTCAATGGCGCAGATTGTTGGCGAATTCGATCAGCAATCGTGAAAATTTCGCAAAAAGCAACTTTCGCATTATTCGGTCATTGGATGGGTGACTAAAAACTTATTATCTCGAGCTCCATCATGCTTCGGTAGGCACGTTAAGCCGTTGGTCCCGATGGTCCCGTCGTCCAACCCGCACTGAGCCCACGTTATTATAGAACAGCGGAAGCGCTGTGTTACAGCTAGCTAGTTAAAGTAGCGCGCAGATAGTAAACATTTATTATAATTCCTTCTTCCTATCTTTTTCGCTCCTGTCCTATATCAGGACAGGAGGCAAGTGGTATTCTGATTCACCACTGTTTTAAAAATATAGTTTATTTTGGTTTCGTTACATAAAAATAACATATTTCATTTGGTTTCAGATTCTCGAATTACCTTTCGGCGACTGGGAACTCTTTAAGCTGCTCGTGATAAATCTTCGTGAACTTGAGGCAAGCTTGCCTATAACAGCACCCACGGTTAACGGTGAGAAAATTCTATCATTCTTTATTAGATAAAATTCAACAAATAAAAATATTTTATAAAACTGAAATTCAATTTTATACACCCTGTCATCAGATCCTTAGCCGACAACGCAATTAAATAGTTTGTAGTACTCGACGGTGATTAAACTCACTTTCTTCTTCTGTCCCTGGACCAATTTAAACTTTACATCTTTACAAATTCCTTTATATTTTTTTACGCGCAGTAATATCAGAGAAGAATGTGGAAACGGAACCGGATGCAGTGAAACCGAGACCAGTGATCGAGCACCAACGTAGCCGCCCATCTAATGTTGAAAAACAGGTTATTATGAGAACTTATTTTTTCTATTTCTGTCTTATCGCGATATTAAATGGTTACTGATATAACAATATTTTGAGATAACTATTTTGCTGTGCAATAAGTATTTTTGCTTAGGATATGATATGGGAATTATGTTTTACACAAAACGACAATTTTTTTGATTAGCAGTTAAATATTAGCCTTTTTAATTATAAGTTTAAACAAAACAGTTTTAAATTTTGCAGCCTTATGCGGAGTATCAGGTGATTATAAGTAGTACAGTTATTTGTAGTAATATAGTTTATTACTAGAATGATGAATCTTTATAGTATTGTTTGCAATGTTTTTTTTGTTGAAAGATGCGTTTTAAAGACTTATATTTTGATTTATTAATACGAAATCAAATAAAATTACACTTTATTACGTGATTCTTTCATAGCCTTATGTTTAATCTTAACTGTTCTCCACATAGAAAATATTTGGGTACAATATTTTATAGTTTTATTTTATCTAACTTGTGCATTATGTTTTAGTTATCTGTTTTGTTAAATATATACTTATAATTCATTATTATTTACTGCATGTCTACTTGTATAATACACTAGAAATACTTAGTAATATGCCATCTTACAATTGAATAAGACAACAAGTGGCTTAATATAGCATAAAACACGATTAACATCATGAGTGAGGCATCAATTAAACAAAGCATTCTTAATTAGTTAATACATTAAAAGTTTTTTATCTATTAACTAATTAATATTTTTAACAAGATAACTGTAAACAAGAAAGCTTTCTCAGGTGTTTAAAAATGCATTTTTTGTAAACTATCTCCGATTTCTACGTCTTAAGGCAGTGTTTCTAAATGTGGGCTCTAGCGCTGTGGACGCTGAATGCGTATTATGGGGCATTGGGAAAAGACGAGATGATTTGATATTTTTCCTCTAACGAGCACAAATCACAATGGCTATAGACAGTTGAGTGTCGATAAAAAACTTTAATCATATTACTAGCTGCGCGCTTCTCTTCGGTGTAGACGATAGTTTATGTTCTAAAATATATCCTATGAGTTATAAATATAGCCTGCGCAGACGAGGGATTTGTCCGCACTAATAGATCGCATACAAGTGCATCGAGTAACGCACACGACGGAATAAAAATTCCGCGGACACTGACCCCCTTATTAATAATAATATAATAATAATAAGAAATATTTCCAACACTAACACTCACCAATTAGCCTAGCCCCAAAGTAAGCACTATAAGGCTTGTGTTATGGGATACTAGGGTAACGGATAGAATACATATACTGTACATATATAAGTATATTTTTATAGAAATACATGTTAAACAGCCATGACTGGAGTACAAATGCTCGTATTCATCACCCAACATCTGCCCCCACTGGGATTTGAACCCAGGACCTCTCGAGTCGGCGACACCATGAAACCCGGCGTACTAACCACTCGGCCACAGAGGTCGTCAAATAAGCAAGGAATAAGCTTAGACTAGTTACGCCGTTTTCTGTTCATGTCACTCAAATGCCATTTGTCATTCGATGAACAGAGACAAAACATGGAGTAACTAATCCAAGCTTATTCTTCGTTTATTAATAAGGGGGCGAGGGACCGGACAACACAAAAGTACGCAAGAGTCCACGAAAAATATAGAACATATATGACAAGAGGCGGTAACGCACACGGCAGACTTAAGTCCGCGGTGCGCGCTTAGTGATGTACGTGGTAAAGAAGTGAAAAAAGAACTCCTTTAAATGATACATCAAAAAAAGAGTATCACAACCGAAAGGACAATGGCGAAATATCTGTTGAAGGAATTCTTTAGCTTCTATAGATTTCATCATTAGAAATGCAAATAATGTATGTAATCTTAACGGATTTATCAAAGAATTGGAGGGTTGCCTATGTCTGGAATTAAAAACTTAAATTATTTAAATGCAATTGAGTAATTATTAAGTAATCACATTGTTTTATTGCGGTTTAGTATCATGTCTTCTGAGCCTACTACTATTTTAAGTGATTTCTGAGATTAAATCAATCTCAAGTATGTTGTTCGTATGTTTTGCATGGCTTTACGCTTAAACTATATCTAGAAATATCTTTCAGAAATATCGTAAAACATAGTTTCATTAAATATTATAGTAAAAGCATAATAAATAATCTCATCAATTCAAATAAATAATCAAACCGATATTAAGGGATGGACCCAGTGTTATCTTTTAGAATGTCTTCCCTTTTTCTTAAACTTCATGTTTATTACAATACAATAAAGTGACTTTCTATTTGTAAAAGAATTTTCAAAATCTGCTAGTGTATCCCGAGATAACAATACCCCTATGGACCCTACAATCTCATAAACTTTTCCTCATTATAATATTAGTATAGATATCGCAACGAATAACAAATGATATGGAACCATTGCTCTCTAACTAAGACCGCTAAAACATACTTCCAAACACGACACAGACGAAACGGAAATTCCAACCAATCCCATAATCGGCATGCTGATCGATTTTTTTCGCCCCGCTCACTTGAACGCAATTTGTGCGAAACCACTTTTTAGTGCAGTTCCTATTCCATATTTTTTCTAATTCGTTGAGATATCGCCGTTCTCATGATAGGGAGGCGGAAACAGTTTCGACAAGAAAGTAAAGATTTTCATTTATTGGTGTTAGGTAACTCTGGAGGAGCAGATGATCTGCGGCGCCCTACAGACACTGAACGAGGAAGCATTAGAAGACGTGCTACAGACGGACACCGCGCCAGGTGAGAGCCCGGAGAGCGCCGTACCCCTGGTGCAGCCCGCGGCTGTCCCTGCTTCCGCTTCCGCTATAGCGGGCAGGCAGGGGCAGGTTGTCCTCAACCTACCCGATGACGTGTTCCTGTAAACCGACCGGGATCGCTAACGCAAAACAAAAGCTGAACGATTCTAACTTACCCTTCGTTTACACCAACAAACAAGTTTTAAAGGGTGGGCAAAAGTCCCGCTACTATTTTGATTGCCTATAACTTTGTTCAAAGTAGAGATAAGTAGGATTGGTTTTCATAAAAGGTTTAATTGGTCTTTACATTTTTTTCGTTATGATTGGAAAATTATATCGGCTACATGGTGACCGCGATTTGCTATGCAACTCTCAGCTCTTTTTAAGGCATTTTTCATGACATCCTGTAACATTTCAGGCTGAATTTCTTCAATATCGTGACGAATATTGTCTTTAAGATGTTGAATCGTTTGGGACCCATTCACATAAACTTTTGATTTTAAAAAACCCCATAAAAAGTCTGGTGCTGTTAAATCCGAAGATCTGGCTGGCCGATTAGAATATTTTTGACGCAATTTCCGCTGAGTGGCAATAATGGAACGATTATTTTTAATAAATATTGTCACTATTTCTGCTCGTTCTTATCACCTATATTTATCGATTATAAAATTGGGGCGTCTACACTACACACTGCTTAAAGCGAAACCGATATAAACGTCACATAACCAAAATGGCGCCATCAAAATGGTAGCGGGACTTTTGCCCAACCCTGTACAACTTAAATAATCACTCGGTCCAGAAAGTTTATCTAGCAAAATTTTTAATTTTCATTAGATTTACAAATATAGCAGTTTAATGTTTGAAATAACAATATAATAAGTTATATCGTAGTTTTTTAAACAAAACTTGCGGAACAGTTATTGTGACTGTTTTAAACATTTGTTATATTCATTGATGCTGTATAGATAACAAGTTTAGTATCTATTAAAGTAAAAGTAACACTCAATTATTTCACATGAGTTTCTTGTTTTATACCGTGTGAAATAAATATAAAGACATTGTATAAGATATGAAAATTGCATGTATTATACTTTGGTGTAAGAAAGGGGTAATGCCGCATGTTTTGAGTTGCAGCGCTTGAAATGCTTCGTCTACGGACAATCCTCGTTTTGTCGTAAGAATACTTGACTATCTCTATATACTCCTTGCTAGTACATCTATACGCTATCCCGTATTTTAGCTTACTTTATGAATTAGTTTATTTTCTTCTATGATAAAAATTTGTTATTTTTAATATTAATGAAAAAATATTTCGGATCGACGAAATATAGTGAAACATGAAAATTACATTCGATTTTTTAAAGTTAAAATTCAAGTATTCTTTAATTAAAATGATGGCGAGTTCGTAACATTAGCTTAAGTTTTTCATTTTATGAAGAATGCATTAATTGAAGCTTGAACCAATTCGCGCAGAGAACAAATAGAAGGTCATTGGTAGAGAATAGTGTGTGTACTGTTGCTCTTGTAATCATCAAATTGTATATATAGTTTCTTAATACACATTCGTAACAATCCCACGCGACCCACGCTTTTATAAAAAATATTTTGAAATTTCATCAAACATCATTTGATGCAAATTATTTATGACCATATTTATGATTGAGATGTTATATTAATTTAATTCATTGCAGTAATAAAATATTTTGTCATATGTTCTGTTTTAAGCACTCTCCCTGAGTTGGTTCATGTCAGCTTTATAGAATTAATTTTGTAATCTTAAGAATGAGTAAAAGTATTATTTATTTAAGTTTATTCACTTATTGCTTTGATACATTACAAATTTGAGAAACATACATTAATTGGAAATTTACGGTTGTTACGCTTGCACAACCAAAATTGATTTTTTTTTTCAAATAATTGATGATTGCGGCTAACGTTGACTCACTAAAGTGTATATTTTTATGATAATAAATAAAAGTTAGCTCATTTATAATAGTAAGTATTAATATAAGAGTATCATTGTGAAATAAATAGGTAAAAATGTCATTAACTAATTCTCAGCGTACTTTTACTAAATAGCAATAGTGATAAGCGGATATAGGCGGACGGCAGGACTAAGTATTTTAAATTCACTTAAATTCGTACGTACCAAATGATACAGTAAGGCAAGGGGTTCGTACGAGCGTCGTTTCATAGCTAAGAGCATCACTATTAGAGACATAGAGTATAAGAATAGAGTAGGGGAGATATAGACTCTACTACAAGTGGAATTGTCCCTCTAATAGAAAGAGAAAGAAGATGAGAGACCCCTAGCTTTTCTCTCTAATCGCGCATGCGCATTGGTAACCGTAAGCATCTTTCTATTTCGATGTGATGCCATTGGATGCCATGCGTCACAAGAGAGACAGATAGCTAGCGGTCTCTCATCTTCTTTCTCTTTCTACTAGACGGACACTTTTAGAGCCGCCTTCCCCACTCTATTCTTATACCACTACGATTAGAGACCGCAGACAAGGGGCACGCGCTTAGATAGTATTACCGCATCAGCATAACGTGACATGCCCCCAGACTTGACCAATGGCGATACATCGTTAAACCAAATTTGTTATCCGATCGTGACATCATACAGACTTGTCCAATCAAAGAGCGACTTACCCTCCTCCCCTCACGCCGGCAACCCTGATTCCCGGAGTTCTTCCTCCTCCTGCTATAGAATACGGTTATATATAATATTGTGAATAAGATGCATCATTCCATTTAGTAATTATTTATTACTAACTTCTGTGTTTTTTTATCGTTTTATGACAATGTACTTAGTTGTACTTAATGTTTTTGCTATTGCAGTCGCAATATGTTGCGAAATGTATAAATATATATTACTAGTGGCCCGCCCTCGCTTCGCATCGGTGTAAAGCTGTAGTGTAGTTAGACTATAGTTTTTGTCCTCAGGCTTGTATTATACACAGTGAATTTCATTATAAAATTATTTTTCTCACCTTTTAAATCTTCCCTAGACAAACACAAACATTTCAAAGCCAAGATAAGATAAATCCGTTCAGCCGTTCTTGAGTTTTAGCGAGACTAACGAACAGCAATTGATTTTTACAATCGTCGATACAATGTTCTATATATTTAAGTATAGAGTTTTTTTGCTTCTCATATCTTCTAGTTTCTAATATGTATGTAAGCACGTAGGTGCTTGTCCAACTCGAGTTGTGTTCCACTCCATTTTGGATTTTGAACGATGGCCATAAAGTTGAAAATACAAGTCTAACTTTAGTGTATTTCACAAGGCCCTCGCAAGCTCGCATCAATTATTTATATTAATAATCCCTTAAATAATAATTTCAAATACAGCAGTGAGAAGTCTTCATAATGATGCTTTTGTGAAAATAAATACTATCGTATTACAATGGGATACGTACGAATTTACTTCGTTCGTTGGTTTATTTAATAACACTCTGCTCTGCCGGCCGCCCCGTAGTTTTCTGACCATATCTCACCGTCTACTTAATATTATCATTATGAGTTTTCGATGAACCAATTTGTATATTTCATAATAAATAGAATCAAAATAGAATACAATTTCATATCACTGCAGTTCATGATAGTGCGACCTTATTTGCAGTTTCCGCGCATATCAGTTTGCAAAATCTTACTCTCGTCAAACATGTGCCAATCGATATTAAACTTTTGCGATTGCAAACAAAACTGAATTTTCATTGTCAGTTTATTTTAAATGTACAGAATATCAAATTCTTATCACTTCGATTCCGAGCATGAGTCAAATCGATGTGCTAGACTACGTTTATACAGTGGTGTTCACATAATTAAAGACACCGCCTTATTAACCACAAAAACTTACTTATGTGTACTAACTATAGCTAAAATTGGTATTTAATCCAGTTTAATTGTTATTAAACCATACCACGACGTTGTATTCTTACAATGTGGGACAAACAATAGTTGTGTTCGTTAGTAGTTTAAACACTGCTCACTATGGGAACATAACACAAACTTTTTTAACGTATTTATAGATGGCCAGCTAATTAAAGACAGTAAAAGCTGTGTTCTGAATTAAAAAAAAAATTAAGAATAAACTGCTTTCTGTTTTTCTTTGTTTTGCCGTGTATTTTCATGAGACTTCGATATTATAAAACCTATTTTTTTTAATTAAAATTGATACGTTTTAAACCCAGCAATATGGGAAAAAACAAGAGTTTGCGATTCGTTCACTAGGAAGATTATTTTCAACTTTCATAATAAAGATTGGTAACTACTAACGAAGACAACTATTTTTGTCCCACGTAGGAATACGACGTCGTGTTTAGTTTAATAACAATAACACTAAATTAAATACCAATTTTAACTAATTTTAGTACCATAAGTAAGTTTTTTGTGATTATGTGACCACTACTGTATATTGTGAATAAGATGCATCATTCCATTAAGTAATTATTTATTAGCGGCTGTGTTTCTTTTATCGTTTTGTGGTAATGTACTTAGCTGTACTTAATATTGTATGATTGTGCCATTACAGTCTCATAAAAAATTATTGATATCTCAGTATAGTTTTTTCTTATTATTTCTATAGTAAACTAAATGGCTTCGTAAAAGTTACATAGTTTTGTAACCAGTGAGAATATTAAATTGAGTGATACTAGATCTAAATTAGGAAAGTTTAGACTTTTTCAAACATATCCCATATTTATTAGAATAAGATGTTCCATATATCCGAATTGTTAAATTTACTTATAGGTGTTTCCATTGTTGCTACATTTGTATCAAGTGGCCGATTAATATAGTAAATAGTCAATTGTGAACTTGGCCGAGGCTGTTATTTTTCGGGCGACTGCGAGTGTCCTGTCCCACGACGACGGCCGGCATCGTCGCAATAATTCATTAGCATTCCCTTCGACCGTCGTGATGTATTTTGTTTATGGAAATAAATTTACAAAAGTTACCGGTAGTTTAATTTCAGTCCCGATAGACCCCAAGGTGTCGGCCGTCGCGACGGCGAGCGCGCTCGCGGCCGCTCGAAATTCGAACGCGACTCGCGAACATCAGTCTGGGAGCGTGGAGCGCGTTCGGCTCGATACAGCGGCATCTCGTTTCAGACGAGGAGTGCGAGCTGCCGTCCGCGCGCGAGCCGCCCATCCTGAAGGGCGCCGGCAGCTTCCGGTCGCGGCGCGCGTTGCCCGACCCGCCCGCCGTCACCTTCAACGTCGAGAACGAGGAGGACTCCGACGACGGACAGATCACGTTCAGCGCCCGCCCGCGCCCTGTCGCCCACTACCGCGCCCCCGTCCCCACACCCACCTACGCCCTCAACCACAACCACAACCACACTGTGGACGAGGAGCCGCGCCGGCCCCGCTCGCGCCCCTCCTCGCTGCTGGTGGCGGACGAGGGCGACGCGCCCGCTCGCCTCGCCGCCCGCTCCCGATCCGTCGAGGACTCCACGCGCACCGGCTCGCCAGTCGTGGACCTGAAGCTGCGCAACCTGCGCCGCACCGCGGACATCCTCCGCAAGGTCAGCTCCGCCGAGCGGCTCTCGCGGTTTAAGGACAAAATAATGTCGCGCGACCGCAGCCCGACGCGCTCGGAGGCGGCGGGCAGCGACGACGAGTCGGCGCCGCTGGTGTCGCCCGGCGCGGGTCCCGCGCGGCCGTTGGGCGTGGAGTGCGAGCGGGAGGGCGCGCCGGCGAGCGCGGAGCCGTCTCCGCGCTCCGACCTCACAGAGCTGGAGTCACCGCACGCGACGGGCGGAGCGCCGGACTTCGACCTCCTGCCGGCGGGCAAGGGCACCGGCGGTGGTGGCGGCGGGCGCGAGTCCCCGCGGCGCACGCCCCGCCTCGACAGCGAGTGTTCACTGTCCAATATGGTGGAGCCGTACAACATGCGGCTGCTGGCGCACGGCACGTCGGACAGCTGCCGCGCGTTGTGGCGGCAGGATGCACTCGACTCGGGCCCGCCTTGGCCCTGGGATGACCCCGACTCAGCAGTGTGAACCTCGCGCTAGCCGTTTGAGACGCCTTGGGTTGGAACGCGTTCCATTGACGCGCTTCCGACGGAAACGGCCGCGTCCCGAATTCACTTTTAACCCTCTGCGTACTCGAGTATGCGATTTATTTTATTCGTCATGCAGTGCACAAAATATATGTACTTATGATTTTTAATCTGTAACCTAAGGTACTTAATTCACAAATGAAGACAAATCTCATGGCATTTAAATGTAATACTGTACCCAGAATTGTGATATTATATCCTTAAGAGTAAGGAAGTATAGCTTTTATTTTCCCCAAAAATTTTAGTTCCCTCTTTTCATTTATCTTAATCGCTACAAAATTTGTTGTCCATGGTCATAATGGTTAATGATTTATCCAAAAAAATTGTGAAGGTAAAGTACAAAAAAATAAAAAGGAGCAAATGATGGCCCTGTAATAGTTAGACCCAGGCAAGTCGGAAGACTACTAAAGAAGTAGATATTTTCATTATTATTTCTGGGTATAAGAAGTCGAACAAGCCGAAAGGCTTTTTTTTATAGCTGGGTCTAACTGGTAATGTCAATTCATACTAGCGCAGAGTCGAATCACATCGGGCATTGCCGCCGGGGCAAATTGGAATTAAGTCATTGCCCCCACTTCAGTTTTTCTTTATTCCCTTAGTTCGCCT